AAAGAGCTTAGTGTGGCATATATAATTAAGCAAAATATAAGCAAGGAGATTGAAAGTGTTTCTTTTTTTGCATGGGAAATTGATGAAACTACCTATATTACCTGTACATCACAACTTTCAATCGTTTTTAGATATGTCAAAGATGGTAATGTGGTAAATCGTTTCATGGGTTTTCATGATGTTTCATCTGGGCGCACAGCTGTCGATTTGTTTAATTTTTCAATTCGTAAGTGTGACACCTATAATTTTAGGCAAAAGTTAATTGCGCAAACCTATGATGTGGCTGCGGTCATGGCCGGCCATTAAAATGGTTTACAAACTAAAATAAAGTCCATAGCTCCTCATGAACTTTTTACGCATTGTCATGCCCATGCTCTAACTTTAGTATTAAGCAAAGCTTGCAACAACATGAAAATGTTCGCGCCTCCGGTGGGCTTTTCTGTATGTATATAGTCTTTATGACTTAAGCCTCCCCTGTTCTCCAATACAGGAGCCGTCACCGGACATTTCTTCTTATGAATAGGTACGTCATTCATAGAATCGACAGAAACAAACTTTTATTGTCCAAACAGGATTTAATTCCACTGACGAAAAGTAATTTTCTGATAGAACTGAAAACAAGCCATGGACCAGGTCACCAAACTTCAAGAAACTGTACAATAGAATAGTTTATTTGACTACATGTTACGCAGATGCATGTTTATAGCATGCATGCATGCATGCATGTTTATAGCATTATATCCGCTATAGGATATTGTCATATCTTGGTGAACACACCAATGTTTAGGCGTGGCTTGCAGAACAAATAATGATTCAAGTAAATTTATTAAAAACAATAAAGATGAAACTTTATATTGGCCAAACGGGTAGAACTTTTTCCCAAAGAACTAAAGAGCATGTTAGTACTTTTTTGAATGAAAAGACCAATTCCACATTTGCAAACCATCTTTTAGTAGAAGTACATGAGTTCAATTACGACTATGACGTGTTGCATTTAAAAGAGAAATGTTTGAAACTCAATCTTTTAGAATGTTCAGAAATGCATATATTCAAGAATTTGGGTCATTTACTGACGAAACACGTGTTGCGTTTTTTAAAACTGTTTATTGAAAATCTGACGGTGTTTCTTGAATACGTTATTCCATCACATTACTCTCTTTAGAGCTCGTTTTCAAAACATTTTGGTTGAAAGTATGTAATAGAAAGCAACAAAAGAAACGTGTATACCAAAAGAAAACAATTCGTAGAAAGTGAGATGAGGCCAAATCCTGGACACTGCATAGGTAGGTTATTGGTCTATTGAAAATTTATGGAATTGTATTTCAATTATTGAACCACATCTAGTAAACCTTGGCCATATTCTGGGTGAGTCTGAAAATAGATATGCCCAATTATATCTCTAGGTAAAAAGTCATTTCGGATAAGTTATTTTGGGAGGTCAGTGTAGACAAAACATTTATTTGAGACATATTTCCATGGAGTTGAAGAGAATACGTGAATCGTATTCATAATTTCAGAGGGTGGTGGGGGACGATGATGAGGTGCCCACGCAAATGCTCACTCCCCATTGATCGGTACTACATCCCACGCTGCAATGCATTAGTAGACCAATCAGAACGACCCAGCTAAAGTGCGGACCAATCGGAAGTGATCATTTGCATGTGCACCCCACCATCACCTCCACCTCTATCCGCGCCATTACCCCGAGCTTCATCTGAAATTATAAATACTAGTGAATACGTAGCTCGGCATTCAGTTGTTGCTGAGTCTTCGAGATATAAACTTTGCCCTCGCAGTCAACGCATATACCACTGATGATGTCTGCCGCAGTAGCAGATGAAACGTTTACTAATTTAGGTTCCATTCATACATGGCCTATCGGCCCGGATTGTATTCAAATTAATTATGACTGTGGTCTTGAGAGACGGTGTTCTTATATTTTCTTGTGTTATAATTCTGTATACAGGACCATGCAACCTAGAATTGTGATAGAATGTTGTGAAATATTCTCACCTATAGTTTGTGTTTGAGAATTGATGTTAAATATTCTCAATTGAAGATACAACTTTTCTTTTTTGAAAATCTTTGCAAGAACTTTTTTCCTTTGAAATGGAATTGGTAGTTTGAAAAGCCTTGCCCACAAATTGATTTCGATAAAGGCAACGTTCTATCGGGTGTGGTCCGTAAATCTGCATTGCATTGTACAAAATAATCGAAAAAAACAAAATCCTGTTTTTGGGGCATGAAGTGAAAAAAAAATTGGAATTCAACTTTTTCATACGAATTTTTTTCGAATCCGACAAAATTTACACAACTTGAATAATAACCCAACAAGCAACTTTCAAGTTTTCATAGAACGTAGCAGTTACTACTGCACAAATTTCAGTTTCGTAGTAACTTATATTATGGAGTTTCTTATTTGTTGATATCCACATCCACCGTCGCTGCTAAAACACATTTCAGACACAAGCCAACATTGTTGCCACATTTCGAAAACATTCCATTATTTTGTCGGTTAGTACCTGGGGGACAAAGTCACACAGTTCTACGGTACTGGGAAAACATACTAGGGAACCCACACACAGGAAAACTTTTATAAAGGAGCCCTCCTGTGCAACGTAGACCTTTACTGCAAGTAATGCTACAAAGGGACAGAGAGTTTGTCATATTTTATGCGAATAGGAGGCATGGATCACAGGAATCGAACAATTTGTGTCCAGGAAAATATGACCTTCATCCAGCAAAAGGGTCCCGTACAAACTAGTACAGGAAACAAGATTGTTGGAATAGAAGTGGAACTCAACAAGCCTATGAGGCTTATCAGGAAAAAAAATTATGTACCAGGCATGGAAGAAGAAATCAAGGGAATGTGCTTAAGTATAAATATATGCGTTTGCAAGTGAAGCTTGAATTACGGTAAGTAACCAACTTACAGTAAGTATTTAGACTTACAGTAGGTATTGGTGGATAAATTAAACTACCCTTATACCTTCAGATTTTACCTGCTAAAATGTCTCACATTTAATTGATTTCAATTTTTAAATGTTTTTAACTGTATATTTATTACACTGACATGTTCTACGCTCATCTGGGCATTTTACCTCATTGTAATTGAATAAATAATAGAGTATAAACAGAGGTGGTTCCAATGGAAAACAAGTTATCAATGCACTGACGACAATATGAAAGTTTTAAGAGACTTCACAACAAATCCATAAATAATAACCTGCTTGCCAACTTCAGACAAATGGTTTCGAACGTAAACATACGAAATTTTATTAACTTGCCCATGAAATGTCACTCAAAAAAAGCCTTGTTTTTGTTTGCGCTACTATCAAAACAACACTGAACCATTTTGATTTAGAAAATCAAACGTTAAATGCCTTAAGTTTACCACAATTCAGTCGTCACTCGGCGATTTGAGTTCTTGATCCTTAATCCCTTGGTTACTATTTCCATGGTAACGAGACATTTATAGCACTTGATATTGACAACAAATAAAATCAGTGAAAATAATGAGCCGTAGCGGTCCCGGGGAAAAAAGTAATTTCATAAAAAGTGACATTTTGTTATCTCTCATCAGAGATAAAATGCCAAACTTTTTCCCGTCACAGAAAATAGTATTTTATATACCTAGGGTGAGAAGTGAGCTATTATTTACCGAGCGTGGTACTGTGCGAGGTAAATAATAGCTTTCTCAGCCGAGGTATATATAGAATTTTTTTCACTACTAACATTGATATATTAACAATTTTAATTTTGGCATTAGTAATTTTCTAACAATTTGTTGAATATATCGGAATATCAAGTAGGGTGGAGCGTGTTTCTTATCAGACTGGCTTTATTTATGTAAAAATTTGACATGTGTCAAATTTTAATATGAATCTAGGAAATATCTCATTGCATTTTTGATATATATATCAATGTTCCACTTCTCTCATCGCTTCTGTATGTTCAGAATTTATAATTTTTCAATTCAGTATTATAGTGAGAAAATAATTTCCTTGGTTATATGATAACCCAAGGCAGCTATGAATTGTTTCATGTCAAATTGAAACGGTACAGTTTCTATGTTGAATACGCGATGTCGATGATAAGCGCGCAACATCTACTTAGGCCATGAAAACGTTTTTTGGCGTTTCCATGACAACCAAATACTGTACAATGATTATTTTTGCTGTCAGTTTGCAAAATGCGGTTTTAATTCAAATTTAGATGTCATTTTGAAGAAGTTGAAAGATCTATATAAGTAAAACGTCAATATAATAAATTGAAAAATGGGTGAAAATTCAAGTGAGGATGATTTAGAGCGTATTTCCAATGTTCAATTTCCTACTTCCAGTTGATAATTAAGTTAACAAAAGTTTCTGTGAATATCTTTAAAATTATAGAATTGTTCTCATTATTTACCTAGGTGTTTTTTTATTATTATGATTTACCAAGGGTGAGAAATATTAATTCTCTTTAGGGGAATGGAGTAAATAATAGCAATTTCTCAGGTTAGTAGTGAAAAAAAGATTATTTTCTGGCATATTAGGGACCCTCTCTGGTCAATTTTTTATGATGACATGCTTATTCACGTCATTAATTATAAGATTCGCCAGAATAGAATTATGCAATTTGTGTCAGATGTCAATAATAAAAACAAACTTTTCAATTTTTTCTTATCTCAGTTAGAATCGGATTTCTACATACAATAATTTCCCAGCTTCATTTTGTACATTATTACAACTTATTTTATAAAAACTTTTCAGCACCATAAACTATAAAGATCAAAATAAAACAGAAACTGACGTAACGTGACGTCAAATTTCGTTTCAAAACCAACCTCACGCTAGTTTTGAATCATCGCAGATTAAAATATTTCAATCTGTGTATGAGCGCCAGAAAACGCATTTAGTTTCATGTTTCATATTATTTTCCAGAGTTCGCAAGCCTAGTGACAGAATAGTAATTGTTTACTATTCTGTGGCCTAGTTCTGCCATATTTATTATCATTGGTAAACAATCCCAGCGACTGAAGCCATAATATTTTTTAATGAAGGACCACGATTCTGCGTAAATTATTTCATGCATTAACGCATTACTAATTTGTGTGTGGTGTCAGTCAAATAATTTATTAAATTTTGTGATTGTGTTCATGATACGTTCATATTTCGTCAAATTGTAGTTGCTTTGTTCATAAATTCATCAGACCAAAATGCCTAGAGGTGAGTTTCGGCAACATCAATAAAAAACTATTTCATCATCCAATTAACAAAATATCGCTGAAATGTGGTAATTTTTTAAGGAAAATTTACCAACCACAAGGGTCGCAATCGTAGGTTTACGAACCCCGAGGAATTGGAAGAGGAAAGGAAGAAAGAAGAGCAGAAAAAAAGATGGAGGCAACAGCAAGGAATGAGCAGTAGTGAAGAATCTGAAGACGAAGCTGCTGGAGATAAAAAGATCAGTGAAGGATCCGAATCGGGCAGCGAATCTGAGGAAAGCAGCGAGGATGAAGACGTAAGTAAAGTTTTGACCTTCTATATTTTCAGAAGACATCGTACAACTGGTATATGAGATGGATATCTGATCTTGCAGCAAGAAAGAATACGTGAATTTCTATGTACTAGTTTTCAAGTTATAGTTCATCAAAACTGTCTTAGTGTTACGAACGTTATATCTTCATCATCAATTTACTTATAGAAATATAAAATCAAGATTTCTTCTAATGTTCTATTCAACGGACAGTGTTTGCATAAAAAAGCATGGCATGAGCCAACCGATATGCCGACATCCTCAGCAACTTCTATTATGGTACTTCAAGAGGAAGATTAAACTGTTTAATCTTCCTCCTGAAGATGATCACTTGGTGATCGAAACAGGTGTCGAGGTGTTAGAAATAAAGGTTTGCTGTTGGGATTAAAACTCCAGTCATTAATACACCAAAGGTTCCAAACAGTGTATCACAAGTACTACTATGTTAATTCATTTTGAGATGCCTTAATCATGGTCGATTCAAAACAAAGTCATAGCAACGGATGAAACTATCAAAATAAATGAATTGGTTACATTATATTCTCAAATAGCTAATGTAGATGCACGATACAGAGAAATCAGCCAGCGCTTGACAAAAAGATACAGGCAACAGTTGTAATAAAAATAAAAAAAAGAATCGATCTGATAATAGCCAGTTCGATTTATAAAACGACAACAACATGGCGGTTGGTTAATCTACTGAAAAAGAAACCCAACCAAGCTACAGAAATTTCCTTAAAAGAGAAAGCAAAAGAAAATTATCCACTAGAGAAATGGTCGTCAAATTCAATAAACATTTTTAACTTACTCCAATGAAAGTGGGGCTAAGTTCTTAGGCGTTACGTTTAATAGTTGGGCTAACATAGGAAGCACAGAAACACCATATGTTCAAAACTGAGCCCTACATGCTATATAATAAAATATCTGGGAGATATTGTATCGGCAGACATCTTGAGACTATTATATTTTGGGAAGGTTCAGTCTACTTTGCAATATGGCAAAGAAAGGATAATAACAACAATGTGTCATGCTTATCCAACTACAACATGTAAACCTTTATTCAAGAATGCCCATATACTAACTAACCCTTCCATGCTGATTATGTACATTGGAAAATACCAAAATGAACTAATGAGGAATGAGGACACTCATATGTAAAATACTTGTAATATAGAAAGACTTCGACATCCCTATGCAAGGTTATCAGTCTGTGAAAATTCACCAAAGCATATTCTTATCAAATGTTGCAATGAAATAAGATGTATAGTAGATGTGAATCTGAATGACATTCTCTTCAAAAATCAACTGAGAAATTTCCTTTTTGAAAAAGTATTTAATAATGTTGAAGAATTTTATATTTCCTGATATCTTTACTATTGTGAAACTGACTATTGTATGTAAAATTCATTTGTAGATTACCTTCTTATTATTTGACTAGTCTGATGAGTTTAATACACTTGGTATGTATGATGTCTTGTATAATATTCAAGTATTCTATTATAATCATTTAAATTGACCAACTTCGATTGATTCCCCGCATATATTTTCGAAGCTAAATGACTCGATGTTGATCATGACCAGCAACTCAAATTTCTCTAAACAGTTATGTGCCTCATTATTATAATTACTTTTAGGCCAAGGGCAAAGGGGTATCTAAACTTATCGAAATAGAAAACCCAAACAGGGTACAAAAAAAAACGAAGAAACTGGCAACCCTCAACTCGACCGATCTTGATGCCAAGCCTACGTTGTCTAGGCGAGAGAGAGAAGAAATTGAGAAGCAAAAAGCTCAGGCGCATTACCAAAAATTGCACGCTGAAGGTAAAACCGATCAGGCTAGAGCTGACCTTGCCAGGTTAGCAATCATCAAGCAACAGAGGGAAGATGCAAAAAAGAGAAGAGAAGCCGAACAGAAAGGTAAGATGTTCATCAAAGCTGTCATAGTTGAAGAAACATTTTTTTATGACAATTTCTGTACAATTATGAAGGAATTAACATCCAAACTATACTTTTTGAAATGTAATTGATTTGACAAGCTGTATTTTCCTTCATTTATGTACCGTCTGTAAAATTTGGATGTATGATTGTTATTATCATAAATTATTATCTCGAACCGCATTGTGATTCATTCACTTTTTTCTTTTTCAGAGAAGGACACAGCTGCTAAAGAAAAAACTGCCCAAACTAGGAAAGCCTTAGGCAAAAAATAGAAATAGAAGTGATCGATTATAAAATATATATATGTATTATCACTAATTGAAGTTCCCCATATATTTGTTCATATTTCACCCCAAGAGGTCTTTTTCGATAGTTTAAACGAATCTACTGAAGGAAAAAAAATGTTCAAATTTCTACTCGTTTTGTATTAATAAACTGATTGATGCCAGTATTAAGTCTTACTCCATCTAATAGAAAAAATAATCTTATGGATCTTATATAAATTTAATATGACTGCCTATCTTGATATCTGATTAAAGTACATGCTACAGAAAAATGAAGCCGTTTCCTTTTTGATCAATTTTGTAGCTTTATAACACATAAGAAATCCCATCTTGGATTAACGAGGTTTGTGTTATATGCGATTTAACAGATGGCGCGAGTATAACCGAACTGGCTCATTTTTACTGTTTTCGATTGTTTACCTTATAAAATATAGCTGATTATTATTCCATACATCCATCCTCAAAGAAAACCGAAGTTACTTTAAATTTCCTTATTTCGGTTGGTTAAACTAGTGCACGTTCAGTGTATTCTGTCATTTTTAGGAATTGAAAGTTTTACACTGAATGAACACGGGTTGTAACAATGGAAAACGTTTTAACATTTACCATCTTCACCGGCGACACGGCACCTGAATTCTAATATAAATTAATGTGAATTAACAAAATATTGTTTATTCACATTAATTGTTTCGATTGTGTCAACTGCTATCCAACAATAGTACGTGCTCTCAGGTGGATGTCTAAGCAAGTAAACAAAAAAAGCGGGAAACTATCAAGATATTTATCTAAACGTCATTATTGTAATCTGTGCATGCCTGAATGAAAGCAAAAGCTTGAGGGAGAGAGATACTTCTATAAATGACGTTTTACACTTGACGTTTCCTGGTAGTGACACGAGCATTGAATGAGGGCAACCACGAAATTCTTGCAGCGAGAGGGCGCTGAGGGGCATGAGGTCAGTTCTCCTGATTCTTTCGTATTTACATAGGGATGAAATTGATTTATTCGAATTATGCGACTAGGTTTGAGAAATCATTCGAAGGAGTGGGATTCAAGACCACCAATACTACGGTGTAAGGTATTGATGTGACAAGTACTGCAGCTCACTCATAGCTGATTTATTATTTGTTCTAACATAAATGGTTGTGAATGTTGTAGGTGTTACAATTTTTGAATTCTGTGAGAACTACAAATGAAAACTGTGTGAATGAAAGTTGAAAATATGAAATACCAGGACTGAAATATTCCGATGGGGTAGTTGAAAAAGAAAATATTAAAAAAACCGAAAAAAATGATTACCTATAAACAATAAGAATTAGAATCGAATAATACAGACGAATAATGAAAGAATATGTACGAAAACAAGAATAAATATTTCAAATTGAACTACTTCACGCCTTTCAATTGTTAATATGTCCACATTTGATTTTGGTTAATTGGTTCATCTTTGATTTTATTGTTCACATATTCTTGACCTGAACTTATTTAATTAATTCAATTACTCCCTTCCATTTCAGGTCACGATAATTTGTTTCTTTTGCAAATTCTTGTTCCTATATTTTTTTAAATTTTGTTTGAATTGAAAGTATTATATTTTTAGGAGTGTTTAATTTTTGTTAAAGAAAGTTTTTGGCTTTCTACTATTCCATCTTGATACAAAAAAATCATTATTGATTTCTTCCCTTCTTTTTTAAATATTATTTTTTTGAGTCATATTTTTCATATTTCATTGACTAAATTTATTTGTATGTATTTCACTCAACAAGCCATTTAGCAAGGATATGTGTATCATTTAGAAATTTGTGATAGGATTTACTCACGGAGCATATTGTTAACACCTAATTTATAAGCCAAATCCTCGCAAAAAGAACTTCAAACTCCTAAAACAAGCCTAATCAAACATATATCTCTCAGGCATTTCATGAATAAAACTCCAAAAAGTCTTACAGAAAATTGTATTACTCAGTATGGATAGCAAATAATTCTATTTCAACAAGGAAATATTTAGCAACTATCCATGAACTGTCATCTTGACCTCTCGCCCAGCGCCCTCTGATGACCTCGCCGATGATGGTCCTCACTGTGTCATCACAGCTTACTTACTATAGTAAGTAAGCTGTGGTGTCATTATGAAGAAGTGGCAACCGGCAAGGAATTAGGTGAAATTAAAAAATATAAAGGTTATGTTTTGGGAGCGAAAAAATTAAAATAGTTATAAGCGCAATTAAAATTTGTTGCTGTTGTTAAAATTCACAAACTATCGATGGCTTCTTCAGGAGACAAACGAGATAAGGTTGTGACAACTTGCAATTGTACGTTCACCTTAATTTCTAATATCATTTCAGAACAACCAAGGCGGCGATCAGAAGGAAAAGAAAAGGAAAGAATCCATTCTCGACCTATCTAAATACTTAGAGAAAACTATCAGAGTCAAGTTTGCAGGAGGCAGGGAAGCTAGCGGAGTTCTTAAAGGTTATGATCCATTGCTCAACTTGGTTCTCGATAATACTTCCGAATACCTACGGGATCCTGATGATCCGTTCAAGTTGATTGAAGATACAAGGGAACTGGGACTGGTGGTTTGCAGGGGCACCAGTGTGGTTCTTATATGTCCTATGGACGGAATGGAATCGATACCGAACCCTTTCATTTCACAAGACTGAACATTACTTTTCATGTGTGGTGTGGTTCAAATTAATATCTTTTTTATTTATGGGATAAAGTGTAACAAATCTTTATTGGTTTTTCTGATTCTCCTTTATATGATTAGGTTTGAAAGGTTTATTTTTTGTGAAAAAAGTCGAGGAGACACTAGGTCTAGTAACCAGCAACTACAATACGTTTACAACTTCAATATGCTCCATTCTTCAGTGTACCTATCACTCAAAGTCCTACAATAGAAATAGTTTCATTCCACTTTTCAGAGAGATCCAAGCAATCAACATAAACAGGCATGTCTTATTCACAGCAAAAATTTGTTTCTCTTGTAGCACTGACTAATATTTTCATGAATCTACCTACTCCTAGTGGGGCTATAAAAACTCATGACCTACGGCACCGTTAAAAAGAAATGAAGAGATCAGGCGGTTCGACGTGGGTGCTTTGTTCAGTCAGTCAATCGGCCGATGTGTTTGTCGATGGTTCAAGCCCCAGGCTGAAAGAAAGATTTTCACTTTCTATCGTCCAACCCGTGTTAGGAATCACACTTTAAAAGGTAAGACCTCGTTAGTCTTTAACTTGCACAAGTTTCGACTTCTGAGGATTATCGTTCGTAGGGGTGCGATACCTGGTTAACGGAAAAACATATTTTAAACATAGTTTCAATACTTCATTCACAGAGGCGCTGAGTACAACTCAGGTGAGGCAGCATGACAATGTCAAGTTAGCACTTCAATTTTTAATGTTCACATTTAGGAATAAATTGATATTAGGTGAAAGATTTTATTTACATTATAGTCCATAAATTGAGATCTGAACGAATACGCGCGACAGATTTTTTGATTCTTGCACCATCTATCAACAATGTACGAAGTTGGTCACAGAACACCAGGGTATTCTGTGGTTGGTTCATTCTCCTGTCGAGAGTTTTTGACAATACAAAAGCAAATAATAAAAAATACCAGAGATGACCAGGGTTTCTTCTCGTTTTTTTTGTTCCTTCCTTGCTTGCGCAATGGACCACTACTTCTTCTTCTTTTCGATTCAATGGCCTCAGCAACTAAGGCTATCCGGCCAGTTGTTAACGAACGTTGTTGTTAAATCCAAATGTGGCCACACTTAAGTGGACCTAAGGCGGGCCCATCCACAATTGGGTTGAAATTACTATCCAGGAACTTGTTAAGCACAGCAAGCTTAAAATAATCCAGTTATATCATACATGCGAAAACAATGGTTGTCCATGCACTACGAAGACATCGCACTAGCAAGCACATAGGTTTATTCGCAATGTAAGCAGAGTCTATTCAGAAGGTAAGCACAACTATCGTCAATGGTCTACACTGTCAGCGCAAATCCATCTGTTACAGCTTAAGGTGGGAGGAGGTAAGGAAGGAATGTAATGCCTTCAAGTTATGAATATTCATTTAAAATATCATGTAATGACAGCGGGCCCTGTTGCTTGTTCATCCTATGAATTGAGGTATGTAATGAACGATAGCTAGGAAAGCAAAAGAATAGCAAAATGAATAGCCAGGAAAGCAAATAATGCCAACTTTGGACAAAAAAAATCTGATTTATATTGAAAAGAAAATATGTTTAGGAGAGATTTAAAGTTGTAAGTTCATTTACAAGTTTCATTTAAAGTTGTAAGTTCAACAAGTTCCGGGGAAATTAATGCAAGAGAATTCTTAGTTCTCAATATACATGAGAAAATTGTGAATTTTATGTTTTGGTGAATGGAATTTATGTATAACATAAAATATAAAAGTTTAAACCGATAACTCGATAAACTTTTTGGACTTGATAATCAACAACAAACATGATTTCGCAACTTACCACAAACCAACCCATACATACATACATACAACTATAAACAACCATTCTAATTATCCCTATAATCATAAACTAGCAGCTACACTACAGCATAATCCACAGACTCATTTATTATGTTAACAGAGAATTTTAATTAAGAACTGAACTTGATAAAATAGATGGCTGTAGATAACAACTCCAATCTCTAAGTTTTTTACCACTTCTAATTGCAGTAACGTTATTACAATTAAAAGTGGTGAAAAACATAGGAATTTTCATTTCTCTTTTCATTATGATCTCCTAACACGTAGGAACGGCTACATCCATCAATTTACCTGAAAAAATCTATTGGAACAAGTCGTTAAACGAGTAAACCCAAAACTAACACTTTCAAAAACTCTGACATATGCGAGGTCTGTTAAAAAATAAGGTGAGGGTTCAAATTTCGCGAGATACGTACATTCGATTAGCAATTTTTTATGTTGGTACACTCGTCTTGAACATATGTTCACAGTTTCAGCTGTTTAGCATGTTTAGTTTGTAGGGGAGAGGCATAAAAGTTGCGGTTTCGGCAATTTTCTCCTATCGAAAAAAAATGCATCAAGGTTAGTGTAAAAATTGAATTAAGTGATCAAAAACACTTGGAATGTTTACAGTGGCAAACGGTGATTGTACTTTCGAGTTAGAAAAATGTTTACAAGTGGTATAAGCTTTCCACAAAAGGTTGAGACATAGTAAAAATCAACCAGTAAGTCCACTCCCACTCATAAATTCACAAATTTCTCGGTGACCTCGAAAAGAAGTGCGGAGCCAATTTTGTTCTTTTACCATAGGCGTGCGCTCATATAAAAACGAAATTAAAGATATTATAGAAGATTTTGTGGTAAGTTACTTAAAACCAACTACAAAATCTAAAACCAATAATAACAGCGAATAAACAAATACAATAAAAATTTCTGACCGTTTATTATAACTAATCCAATGCCCGTGGGACCGTCGAATCCTTCAATACTACAGCACTGAACGCGTTGGATGAGATCTCATCCTAGAGCAGTTGAAAGTCCCCGGCAACTCGGGCGGACCACCTGGTAAGAGAGCCTACTGTGGTTGAGATGTGAGTGAATGACGACGCTCGCCCTGGACGACCCAGCACATCAACAACCGATGAATATGATGAGAAAGTGAAGAAAATTTTAATGGAGAATCGTCAAATCATATTAGAGAGGTTTATGATATATATACATATACACCTGTCTAGAGCACTCGCTATTCGATTTTGAAATTCACACAGTGACGTATCAGCATTTTTTTTTAGCGAAACCATGTTGTGAGGGCGATAACAAGTTATTTGCTATGAAATAGAATTCCAATTGTTCTTTTATGTTAATTTCATAAAGTTCAGAGATACTTGAAAGAATACTAATTGCTCTATAATTATCCATATTGTTAGGATCACCTTTTTTAAAAATAGCAAGTTTTAGATTGGTAGGAAAGATCCCTTTTGAGGTTGACAGATTAATTAATTATTGAAGTGAGAGATGATTAATTTGCAGATCTAACAATGAAACCTAACATTTTTAGCGCTTTAGAAGTAATATTTGCAATATGGCGTTTAAATGACATTTTTGGGTCGAGGGTGATTCCTAAATCTCTGATTGTGTTTGCTGTTTTCAGTTCTGATTGATTGATTTTATATGGCCGGTTAATGGGATTTTTGTTTCGGAAAAAGTAAATTTCTGACATTTGTCTATATTTAATTGGAGTAGATTTATATCACACCAGCGAACAAAGTTAGATAAATCGTAGTGTAATAATTTTGTATCAGTTGAGTCGTGAATAACTTTAAACATCTTCAGGTCATCAGCAAACAAAAAAAATCACTATAAAGACTAACATCTTTCAAGTCATTTACAAATAGGTTGAAAAGCAATGGCCCTAAATGAGAACCCTGTGGTACACCCGGTGAAACTGTGATTGAGGAAGATACTGAGTTACCATATTTTACAAATTGTACTCTGCAGGCTAGATAATTTTCAATCCATTTCAGAATGTTTTCTTGAATACCCAAAGCGTTTAGTTTATGCAACAACAAATTGTGGTTTACTCGGTCAAATGCCTTTGAAAAATCTGTGTAAATAGAATCCACCTGGTGTCTATTTTCGAAGGCGTTCATTATAGTGTTGATAAATTAGCAGATTTGTGCTGGTAGATCTACCACTACTGAATCCATGTTGTTGATTAATGATTATATGTCTACAATTCCATGCTAGTTATGTTGTAATTAGGCTGTCTAACAATTTGAGTAATTCTGATTGATTACAGACTGCTCGATAATTTTTTACATCATTATGTGATCCACTTTTATAAATAGGTTTCAAAAAACGATTTTAAGGAAATATTCAATATCATGTGAATTGGTTTTACCAGGGTAAAAATACATTTTTTGATTAGGAATAGCGGAATTCCATCAGGACCTGTAGACAATTTCCCAGGTAACGACATGACTAGACTACTAACTAGCATACAAGACTGATAACACCTTGGATAGACATATAAAAACAACAAATCCCTACATCAACAACAACAAATCGTTTGTCTACATGCTAAAACGTGGCTCATACCCAAAAGTTTATATTGGAAGAACTTAACCAGAAAAGAAGTTTTAAATTAAAAAAAACCAATCCAACCCATGCATGCCTTCTGCTGGAGAACAACCGTAACTTCAACACAAACTATGACGTACTACATACAGAAAAAAAAGGAAAAAAATTAAACCTGCTGGAATCCCTGGAAATTATTAAACGTAAACAATATTTACGATTGAATGAAGAACAAAATTTAATCTCTAATGTAGAGGACCAGTCCAACTGAAGAAACTACCAAGTAGTGAAACGCCTGTTGGATATTAAGTCTATATTGTTAATATTTGAATTTATTATCATGAATGGTATAAAAATATGACTCAAACATGCATCAGGAAATCCCTCTCCCTATTTATATGAAATATTGTTGAATGTATGAATCGACAAAGAGTAATTATAGAGTTTGCTTTGAATCCCAGGCAAATACAAACCAAGGAAAATAAACAAAAAATAAAACTAGTTTATTTGAAAGTATGATAGCACACTATTTACAGAAAATATATAAAAGTATAAAGCATAAAATAGATGAGCACATAAAAAAATCTGAGCAGATGACATAAAAAATGATTAAAAGTCAGATAACTGACAATACTTAAAATATATTGAAATAATAATATCTAACTATGATTATTCTCATTTCTATTGTATGTACAGTGTGACCGCTTTGGTTTCACTCGGACGGTGGTCTGAAAAAACAACACAAAAACAGTATTATTTTATTAATTACGGCTAACAAACGAGAAACATTATCAGTGAACACTAAATAGATAGATATATACTTTATTGTCCAAGAAAATACAATCTTATTGACAAAGCTTGTTGAAAAATCTGGTACGTATATCACTTCAAAGATTAAAAGAAAAGAAACAATTCAAAAACACAAATACCCAGAAACACAGTTGGAACAAAACTAACTTCACATATCTAATAGATAAAATATAACAATAAAAAATAAAATTTAACCACGTTTGTTGAAAGAATAGTTTTTATAGTCCCTTTCAAAAAATGTTGAAAACAAATACACACAATTTGAACATAAGTTCACATGTCATGCTAATAATATAAGATATATTCCAGTATAAAATGTAATTCAAAGTATAGCTGTCAATATAAACAAAAAACAACACCTATATTAAATCACAGCAAAGTTCCATTGTGATATTTATCAAGATTGTAGTACGCTTTTGTTGCTAGGGCATCTTTAACAAGATTTATTAACTTTTTATAGCTTTTTTCCTTCCTAATTTCGTAAGGTATGTGATTATTCAGGTTTTTACTTTTATAAATTAAAGAATACTTTGTCTGGCTTGGTTTTGGAACAGGAAGATGTATTTTATTTCCTGTTACTTGCCGTGTTATGTAATTTATATGTTCCGGAGTTCCAACCATATTATGTTTTTTGTAAATCAGGCAAACAGTTTCCAGTATGAAAATTTTTTCTCTCAAAAATAATGGTCTGCATGACTCACACACTACCACTTTGCATAAGTATCTAACTGGTCGCTTTTGCAAAACGAACACTGAATGACGAAGTTGTTGACTGCAAAATCCCCAGAAGGCAACACCATATCTCAGGTGGGACTCAATCAGGGAATGATATACCATTTTTGTTGTGGATGAACTCAGTTCATTTGAAACTATTCGAAGTGCATAACATTCTGATGCCAATTTTTTATTCAAAGCTGAAATATGTTGATCAAATTTTTATTTGTTATCCATGAAGACTCACAGGAATTTGGATTGCTTTCTATTTTCAAGAATTTGTTCATTTAAGTATGAATTGTTGATATTACAGCTAAAGGTGAGTAGGTTTGTCCCTTTCAAAAGTTGAGGGGGAGACTATTGACGTCTGCAGTGTATATCTGAAAGTAGTAGTATTCTTCCTATAGACAAAAAATCTCTCATAACTAAGACATCTAAGAATTGTAGTCTCTCATTGTTTTCACTTCCTTATGTATAGTTCATATTCAGGAATCATCCACTTTTAAAAAGATGTGTTCAATGTTATAAATACAATATATTAACCAACTGTCAATTTGGCTTTCAGAAGGCGAAAGGCACAAATGATGCAAACTTTTTCTTTCTTGAACATGTCTACACACATGTAAACAATGGTGAGGTAGTAGCTGCAGGATTCTGCGATTTCTCCAAAGCTTTTGATTGTCTAAATCATGAACTTCTTTTGCAGAAGTTGACCTACTATGGCTTAAGTGATAGAAAACAGTTAGTAAGATCAAACGAGAAAGTAGCATACACTAATGATATCTTATGGGGCGTTCCACAAGGATCATTACTGGGCCCGACTCTTTTCCTTATTTAGGTAAATGACCTTGTGACTCTCTCAATTCAAGGAAATTTTGCGATCTTTTCGGATGACACCACACTCCTTTGGCATGGAAAAAATACTTCTAATATAAAAGAAACTATCTTTAGTGATTTAGAATTTGTGAAAAAATTGTTTGATGCAAACTACTTGTGCTTTAATATTAAAAACCAAACCTACTCACCTTCAGCTGTAATATTAACAATTTATACATGAATGGACAAATTCTTGAGAATAAAAACCAATCCAAATTCTTGTGAATCTTCATGGATAACAAATTAAAATTTGATCAACATATTTCAGCTTTGAATAAAAAATTGACATCAGGATGTTATGCACTTCGAAAAGTTTCAAATGAACTGAGTTCATCCACAACAAAAATGGTCCCGATTGAGTCCCACCTGAGATATGAGGTTCGTTCCAACCTTGAGTCACAAACAGATTTCCAACTGTTTGTAAATCGTTGTCAACGCGCATGTCTGGTAAATATTGATTCAAATCTACAATATATAATTTCAATTTGGGGAACAGCTAATTCATCAATAATAAATCCTCTCAAGAGACTGCAAAATAAAATAATAAAATGTATATTCAAATTACCATATCTTTAATCTACGTCAAATTTATATATACCACATGATCTTTTGGATATTCAGTCTATTTTTCAATCGAAAATTTGTTGTTTCGTTCATTCTGTTAGAACAAATCACAAACATTCAAACTTGGAATTCAATCAAATAAATACCATCCATGACCATAATACAAGACAAGCAAAAAAACTACTAGTTAAATCATATCACTCAAAATTTGGGGAGAAATCAATATTTCATTTAGGAGTTAAAATATATAATAATCTTCCAGAAAAACTAAAAATGAATCAAAAAACAAAATTCAAATCGGAATTGGAAAAGTTTATACTTTCTTCCACTAATTAAAATTCTGATCTCCATATTACATTTTTTTGTTTTTAATTAGCATTATAATTTAAAAATGTATATATACTTATATATGTATGTGTGTATATATGTAAATATGTATGTACATATGTGTTTGTATTTATGTGCTGTATATTTAACTGATATTCATTATTGAAATAATTTATCTAATCATTATTTTAAATTGTATCCCTGTTATAAACATTCTTGTTTCTTGGGAATTATAAAGATTATTATTATTATTATTATAGTGTACTACAATCTTGATGAATATTAAAATTGATCTTTGCTGTGATATAGTGTTTTTTTGTTGCTTATATTGACAACTATACTTTGAATTATATTTTATACTGGGATATATCTTATTTTACTGCCGTGACGTGAACCTATATTCAAATTGAGTATATTTTGTCTTTACATTTTTTGAAAGGGACTATACCAACTATTCTTTCAACAAATGTGGATAAATTTTATTTGTTATTGTTATACTTAATCTATTAGATATATGAACTTAGTTTTCTCCAATTGTGTTTCTTGGTATTTGTGATTTTGAATTGTTTCTTTTCTTTTATTCCCTGACGTACTATACATACCAGATTTTTCAACAACCTTTGTCAGTAAGATTGTATTTTACTCCCCAATAAAGTATATGTCTATCTAAAATCTCCAAAACCAGTCTATCTGATACTTACCAGTTTCACTTCAAAAACGGTCGGTCTCTCTTGTGCAATATCGACACGTCCGTACAGGGATCCTCCAACAAGCTGTCGCTGATGGAACTCCTAGTGAGCTCAACCCCGGTCGCTAGTTCCGCCGTGATCTTCGCTGGGCTCTTGTACCGTACCAACTTTCTATCGTGCCTAGTAAGACCCGGCTCCAAAATCATTTTCTCGATGGAAGGCGGCAAAGCCTGCTTCCTTTCCGCTGTGGTGATTTGCGTCTTGCCTGGTTTGTATATAACCGCGGGGAGGTTATCCAGGTTCTCCTTGTTCTTGTGGTTATGCGAAGGAGACGTTTCGACTTTAACCCTGCCCATCCTCGTCGGGTCTACATTCTTTTTCAGTACGGGCTGCGGACTATGGCGGATGTACATTCCAACGGGGCTGACGATGTTCCTGAAGTTGGAGCACGTTCTGGGGGAAGTTTTGGACGGTAATTTTTGCCAGACGGGTGTCACGGGAATTTTGAAGTTGTCGCCGGATGGTGATTTTTTTAGTTTTGGTATAAAGCTCTTGGTACTCATCGCTGGGGTTACACGGTTCAGCTGTTTTTCTTTCAGTGCTGAGTTCGGTTCGGATCTGTTGATTAATAATATATATTGATTTCTTTAGGACATCCTAATATACATACATTATTTTAAAAATATATAAATAAATGACATAAATAACAAAAATGATGATATGATAGAAGAAAAAAAATAAAAACCATTTTTTAATGATTCCAGAATGGTTTCAACATAAGGATATACATAATAAATATATTACCAAACAGAAAAAAGAAAATCAAGTATGACATTTTATATAGTTTGAGTTTTTTGAATTGGAAAACATTTATTGAATCTTTCAACGAAAGTGGGAGTTTGTTATACTCATTAAAACCTTTATAACATAAAGACTTCATCGTACTAGTCAACTCAGTTCGAGAAAGGTGAAATTTTTGGGAGCTACTCGCTCTTATTATGTGGTTATGGATTTGAGATTTATATATACAGAATTCTTCAAAATAAAATGGAAGCAAGTTATGTGTTAGTTTGAAAATAAATATAATTTCTAACTCGTACAGTCTCTGGGAAACAGACAGCCACTGCCATGTTTGACATACTAGAATACCTATTCACTTGTAAAATGATCCTCATTCCACAATTCTGTAACTTTTGTAAAGCCAATACCTTACTTTGGTCAAATGAGTATAACAGACTAGCACAATAATCAAAATGGGGTTGGATTATACAATTATATAATGTAATTTTTGAGTACATCAATATCCGATCAGGATGCAGAACAGCTTGCAGTTAAACTGGAAATGGTTGTAAATCAATTTTCATCCTGGTGTCAGAGAAATAAGTTAATTCTAAACACGTCCAAATCGGTAATAGTCAAATTTTTTCACCGAAAATTGTTATCCAACGAACTTTTTGTAATTGACGACATCCAACCCTCTATGGAAACTAAATTTTTAGGCACTCATTTAGATGAGAGTATAAATTGGGGTAGATACATTGAAAGTGTATGTTCAAAACTAAATAAAGCCTATTTCGCTATTAAACAAATGAAATCAACCTTGAATACAGCAGGCTTGTTAAGCATTTACTATGCTATGGCATATGCACATATTAATCTGAATATATTGGCATGGGGTCGAGCAAGAGAATTCTTGAGAGTGTTTGTTTCCCAAAAGCGTTTAGTAAGACTGATTTTTAACTTGAATTATCAAGACAGTTGTCAATCTATCTTTAAAGAAAATAAAATTCTTACGGTGCCTGATGTGTACATATTTCAAAAGAAAGTTAAAGACTTGCTATTAGAGAAATGCTACTATAGTTTCCAAGAATTTTTGGACGATAATTTCTGAAAAATAAAATATGAACTTTGCCCACGAAATTTGAACATTAACATTATTTTTTTAACAGACCGCGTATACATTAACATTCCAAAAAATAAAAGTACTCAATATTTTTCATCAACATCAAAACCAACACTCACCTGCCATTTGGAGTAGTTTTGGTGACCTTGCTGTTGAGCGGAGTAGTTTTCTCTTCGGAATACAACAGATCTGGGTTTGGTTTTTGAAGAAAAGATGCCGATATAATATCGTCATGGTTACTCTTCTCAGACACCCTGCGGATGTCCCTATCGGAACTTTCGCTGTCTGCAAGAGACGCGTTATTTGCTTGATTTAGGAGCTTATCCATCATCTCCATGGTGTCGTTGAGTTGGGAAAGAGCGTCATAAGAGTCGTCGAACTGAGCGAAGTCAATATTAGGAATCGCAACGGGAGAAATGTTGCAGTTTCTAGGAAGATGTTCGCTCTTGAACAGGTCTGTTACGTTGTGCGATTCAATTATCCCTGAAATATCATTAAATAATTAATCAGCCTTAATCTACTCTTTGATTAGATATTGAAATTAACATCAAGTAAATTGAAATAGGCCCAAATATTCTTTCAAAAGTTTAGGCGATTGCTATTGATGCACTACGCGTGAGCACATCAAATAAGAAATATTGATAGATAGATTTTATTTAAACTGTACAGTCAATGTCATGATATATAAAATATATGATTTTACAATAAACAGAGTAAATAAACACCTAAAATTACGTACAAGAGAAATATTAATAAAAACAGGTATTTATGGCACTTTTTTTTAAGACTGTCTTATTTCTAATTCATCACAGCAAAAAAAATCAAGACTTTGATGTCTTAGACTAGATTATTCACTTGCCTAAGGCAGCGATTGAGTGGAGACTCTGATGGGGTGTCTGCATAGAAAACCCTATTGCGATTTCTTAGACTAGCACTAGGAACATGAAGATTGATCACACTGAGGAGTTCAGGTACATTTATTATCTGATTGAATATGTTGAATATAAACAGTACATCATTCAAGCCTCGGCGAACCGACAGAGTTGGCATGTCAAAATGTTCTAGTTGAGTCCTATAGGAGATCATAGAGGGAGACTCTTTATTTTTTTTTGAAGTAGGTGTACCTAAGAAATTTCTTCTGTATTTTTTCTATCATCTCTGAATGTAATGCTGTTTGCGGATTCCAAATTGTTGAAGTGTATTCAAACTTTGATCTGACAAAGGCATTGAATAGAAGAATTCCTAGTTCCCATTTGAAATCCCTGGAATTTCTTAACACAAAACCAAGCTTTCTGTTTGCATCACATACACTTTATTCTATGTGATTTCTGAAGTTGAAGTTACCATTAAATATGACTCCTAGATCTTTGATTTGAGCAAGTTTTTCCAGTTTGGTGCCATTTATTAAATATTCCGTCAGATTAATAACATTTCTCCGTGAAAAAGACATAACTTTGCATTTACCCTCATTCAGCATCAAGTTGTTCGTCTAACAAAAGATAGTGATAGAAAAAGACATAACTTTGCATTTACCCTCAGTCAGTATCAAGTTGTTCGTCTCACAAAAGATAGTGATAGAATCTAAGTCTTTCTGAAGGTTTTCACTGTCTTTTTCATCGTTGATGCGAAGAGTAGGAATTTGGAATGTCTTATATAATCACCTATATTATTATTGAACATTAAAAATAAAAGTGGGCCTAGAATCGATCCCTGAGGAACGCCAGAGGTTGATCTGAATAGTGTCGACTTTTTTTTTATTGAAAGCAACAAATTAATCTCTATCTGATAGATATGATTTCACTAATGTTGTCATTGATTGATTCATTGAGAATTTCCTTAATTTGGCGATGAGAACTTCAAGGTTCACTTTGTCGAACGCTTTCGCTAGGTCTATATAGATTACATCAACTTGTTTTCCCATATTTATCGAGAGTGCTAAATTATTTCTGAACACCATGAGATTTGTTATAGTTGATTTTTTATTAACAAAAACGTGCCGTTCTATGCAGATAGTGTCTTCAACATGGACATATAGTCTGTTATATAATGCCTCTCTCTCTAAGATTTTTTAAAATGAGGGGAGTATTGTTATCGGCCTATAGTTTGTTTTGATTGCCAGATTTATGGATAGGAATTATACGTCCCATTTTGAGTTGTTTCGGAAACACACTACTTTCAGCAATGCTATTGATGATTATATTCAGAAGTCTTATTAGGTTTTCCATATAACCTTTGTGAAAGTAAGATGGAATACCGTCAACTCCAGTTGATGTTTTGGGTTTCAAAGATCTAACTGCTTTTCAGATATCTTGTTCGAAAATTGATGATATACATAATTCTCGCAGGTTGATCTCTAGAAAGAGATTGGTGCCACTTGGAGAATCATTACTATAAACTGATTGAAAATATTCAGCAAAAGCATTAGCAATATCTTGGTCATCAGAAATGACCACATCTTTATATCTGAATTTCTTAGATATTTTGTAATCTCTTTTTTTATTGTTAATGTAATTCCGCAATTCTTTAGAGTTTTTACTGATTTTGTTTTCAATAGTTTGTATGTGAGAGAGCTTACATTGTTCCATTAAAAAAAATATATATGTTTTTCCGTTAATCAGCTGTTGCCCCCATACGAATTATAGGATGGATGCAAAGACAATATCATTTTCATTTATTCATTTCACAATATTAACTCCATTATAGTTAAATTCAAAAATACTGAACCAAGTTCTGAACCTTGAGGAACCCCTCATTTTTTGAAACCACTGTCAAAGAGCCTTTGAGAAAAATTGAGCTTAGGTAAAATTGTATCTACCTATCTCTGTACACAACTGTAATTTTATGCAACTGCTACTACCCTTTTTGTTGATTTCATATCTAGGAATATGGACAATAGGAAGCACGTGGCAGGAATTTTCTTTGACTTTCTTGACTGTATTGATAAAGTGTTTATGGCTTCCAAACTGTATAATATTGGCATTAGAGGAAATATTCTTGACTGGATCATTTCATTCCTATCAAATAGACAATTCTTTGTAAAATAGTGTTGAGTCAGAAAGATATTCAGTTGATGTTGGAGTAGCGCAAGGTTCAATTCTGGGACCATTGCTTTTCTTACTATTTCTCAATGACCTCCCAATTAATGTCGATAGGCGCTTTTATCTAATCAATTTTGCTGATGACACAACATTTGCTATAGCTGAGTCATCTATGGAGGATATGATTTTATCGGTCGAACTCTGTATTAGTGAAATGACAAAATATTGTCATTCCAATAAACTGATGCTAAATGCACAGAAAACAAAAATTATATAATTCAATAAGAACAATTTGATCGATAGTAAAGTCCTACAGACACATAACTCCACTAAGTTTCTGGGTGTAATGATTGATAAATCACTCTCATGGTCTGAGCATATTGAAGGTTTATCTAAAAAACTATCCAAATCATACTTCGCAATTCTGCAATTGAGGTATGAACTTCATGAGAATACAAGTGTTAAGTCACTTAGATGCTATTTTATACACAATCTTTACTTTATATACTGCAATTACTGTCTTTTTATCTGTCTCTTCGTTTGTGTTTTATTCTTTATTTTATGTATTTTTGTGTATCAATTAAATGAAATAAATAAATCTCTTGAAGAAAATAGAATCTGTGCGGCAAAATTTTGCAGTTTTTCATTAAAAACATACCTGGAGTCTTTCATTGAATTACCACCTAGAAGATGATTTCTTTTTACAATAAATTAAAATCCAAGAACTCACCTTGGTGAATATTTTCCACTTTTTCATTTTCCAAACTTTCATTACTATCATTGCTGCCCCTTTCTTCCTCTACAGATTCAAGGCGCCTCCCTCCATGTCTCGTTTGAGACCGATCAAAAGATGCCTCGACTTTATCTTCAATGCTACCCATTTCACCCGAAAAACTACCATGCTCCTTGTCACATTCAGAACTCACTTTGTTTGTCGTTCTATTCAGTGTACTCGATTCTTCAACTTCTTCAAAGAGCTTACTAGATGACTTTCTAGCACTTTCCAGACTATCATTACTATAATTGCTGCACTTTTCTTCCTCGACAGATTCAAGGCGCCTCCCTTCACGTCTCGCTTGAGACGAATCAAAAGATACCTCAAATTTATCATCACCGCCAACAAACTCATCCGAAGAACTACCATAATTGTTTTCATAGTCGGAACTTTCCTCGCTTGTCCTTCTATTCAGTTTATTTGATCCTTCAAACTCTTCAAAACATTTACTGAAGGACTCTTTAGCGTTGCGGATAGAGTATTCCTTCTCAATATCCGAATCATTTGCTTCGTCGATACACACAACGTCATCAGAATTTGAATCTCTTGCCCTAGACAAACAGAATACAATTTAGAGTCGTCAGTAAAAATAGTCTTTTATTAGAAAAGTCTATATGAAAATGAGTTTTAATAGTATTAACATAACTGTGTGATTGAAGCTGTCAACCGAACATAAATAATAATAATAATATTTATTTATGCTTTGAGACGTTAACAATGTATAGGACATGTCAGTACAACACATTAAAATAGTATAAAGAAAATAAACATACATAAAGATAAAATATCTCAGTAGTTTTAAAGTATAAAAATGTATAAAATATAAAGAAAAAAAAACAAGATTAGTCAAAATTGGATGTATAATAAAATAGTAAAATCTGGATGAAAGTCTGGACCGCGATCAGCTAAAGTCGTCCAAAAGGAATTCACTGACACTGTAATAAGCCTTAGACAGGAGCAAATTTTTAACTTCTCTTTTAAATGACAAATAATAATAATGAATAGTCAAATAAATACATAAATAATCTTGTTACAGATGTTAATTTCACTTGTATATACCACTTTTTTATATTGTCAGAAAATTATATGTATTTTCCATTTGTGACTTGCCGTAAACGAACGAGAATACATAAAATGGTTAAATAAACTACTACTGGTGCTACTTCAGTTACTTACGACAAATTTTCATCCCGTGATTTTCCAAGACGTTTCCCAAAAGCCGAAGTATCTGACTCATCTTGCTCGACTTCATCAGAGGAGTTCAAACTGTCTTCATTTATGTTTCCACTGCTAGTGCCAACGCTCGAAGAGTTTTCTTTTTCTTCACTCGTATCCAGAGTGATATTATGTACCATTATTTCTTGTATGTCTTCATCGGATACCTCTCTCTTATATATCGAGCTTTCCTCAATTTCATGAAGGCTACGATTCCTTTCAGGGAAACCCTCACTACCGATACTGATTTTTCCGCAACTGTATTTTTCGTCTTTAACATTCCTGCTGTCCCCTTCAAAACTTTCACCTTCGTCACTGGATATTTCGATAACTCCTTCTTGAGATTCTATGCTATTGTTAGGACACGAATTGTTAAAACTCTGTTCGGAACAAAGCACCGTGGGTTCTACCAGGGTGTGATGGAAGTTCTGAATGTCGAAATAAGAGTTTCTGTTCATTGCCGCTTTTACAAAGTCAATATGAGTATCATTGTGATTTTGAATACTCGCAGGACTTGTAGCCGCGGTGGCTTTTGTGTCTGATGCTGTTAGGTACGCAGAGCTGTCATGGATCAAAGAGTCATTCGTTTCTGCAAAAACAATATGAGATTTTCAATCCGTCAAATTTTGTCAACTATAGCAAATTTTGTAAAAGTACAGTTTGATTTTTTCCTGGTTTAAAATCGATAATTGAAAAAATAAAAATCAAATCTGATCAAAAACATTTGAGTGATTTCAAATTGATTAGTTTTGAGGAGCTACATGATATATTGTTGACAATGAAAAATAAAGGTAGCGATGATGATCCAACAACGGAATTCGTAAAAAAAGAATATCATAATATGAAAGGCCCGTTATTAAACCTTGTCAACTATTCCCTACACACCAGTACACTTCTATTTATGCTGAAAGTATCAACAATAATTCCAGTTCCAAAAGTAAAGAATACAAGTAAAGCCGGTGATATGCGACCAATAAATACTTTGTTGCCAATAGAAAAACTAATCGAGAAAGTTGTCTATGTACAAATGTTAAATTTTTTAAATAGTAATAATATTCTAACTGAAAATCAATCAGGTTTTAGAACTGGGCATAATTGCGAAACAGCGGTCCAAAGTGTTTTATTTGACTGGAAAATGTGGACAGATAAAAATATGAATGTAGGAGCAGTTTACTTAGATTTGAAAAGAGCCTTTGAGACAGTAAATAGGAAAAGACTCCGGCTTAAATTGAGAAATTATGGAATATCCGGTACAGTCTATAAATGGTTTGAAGATTACCTAAATAGTAGAAGACAAGTAACAAAACTTAATAATGTAACGTCCTGTGAAAATGTCAATAACAACGGAGTACCTCAGGGCAGTATACTAGGACCACTCTCATTCCTAATATATATAAATGATATTGTTAATAAGGTAGACAAGTGTAAAATTCATCTCTTCGCTGATGACACACTTGTATATTACTGTGCACATGATGTGGAAGATTTGATAGATACAATGAATAGTGAACTACAAAAAATAAGTCGGTGGTGTAGTTATAATGTATTGAAATTAAATGGTAATAAATCAAAATTCATGTTATTTACTAATAAAACAGGATATCATGAACTTGAAAGCAGACAATTGAATATCCATATTGATAATATAGAAATAGAAACCGTTAGTGCGACGAAATATCTTGGAGTCTTAATTGATAGAGGCTTAACATTCAAAGAACACGTACAAGAGGTAATAAAAACTATCTCAAGAAATGTTAGCTTTCTAGGAAGAATTTCGCCAACACTTACAAAATATACAAAAATAATATATACCACACTTATATTACCACATTTTACATTTTGTGCATCGATAATGTGCCAATAAAAATGAAATGGATAGATTACAAAAACAGCAAAACCGAGCCGTGAGGATCATATTAAGAAAACCAAGAGAGACACCAATCAAAGCAATGCTGAAGGAATTGCAATGGATGGCTGTGACAGATCTCATATATTACTATACAATGATAATGATATATAAAATGAATAATCACCTATCACCGACATACCAGAGTAGGCATATTGAATACAATGAGAATCATCATCACTATAATACAAGAACGCGTAATAACATGTAGGAGTTAAAAATAAAAAGTGTACTGAGAAATCCATTTACCATGCAGGAATGTTAGCTTTTAATAGTTTGAACAAAAATATTAAAGAATGTAGCACTCTTGCATTATTCAAAAGAAAGTTGAGTCATCTATTGGGTGAATGAACTAGTCTTTATATAATATAAATTTTGACTGTATAAACTTTTTGTTTTTGTATTCTATATTTGCATTTTATTTGTTTTATATTGACTAACAACTGTGATATTTTAAGTAGATGTTGTATATTTATTGTAGTACTCATACTTTGAAATTTTATTCCTGAGTTTAGTTGACTAACACATTGTGGTGTCGTATTTGATTATAGATGTATTGTATTAGCAGTTTCATTGCTAAATAAAGGATTTATATATATTCTTTAATATACTAGAAAATTAATTTATATTGAAATGGCATATTTTATGGAGAGAAAGGCCAAAAACCTTTCCTAGAAAATAAATATTTTGAAATGATATTCTAAAATATTTATCCCTCCCAACTACGTACACAGTAAGCTCTGGCATATGCCTCCCGAAAAACAACTACTTTCCCGGCTAATACCACGCTGGGGCTTTTATGAATAACAATACTTTGGTTTAAAAAAATGAACTTTTGGAGAAAGAAAGAATTCACTATACCTAATATATCCTTGTGATTTTGAATTCTCAAAGGACTTTTATCCATGGTAGCTTTTGTGTCTGATGCTGTGAAGTATGTGGAGCTGTCTTGGACCAAATCATCATTTATATCTGAAATAATAATAAGCCTTTTATTCCAATCTGATCAAGTACATGATATAGAAAATGTCAAAAAATTATATAACTAGATAGATAAAAACTTCTTTACCAACATTGGCCCAACTTTAGCAAGGACAATTCCGAAAAGAAATTTCAAGCCTCTATTAAAAAAAAAATTAGAAACATACATGAACAACAGACTTGTCACCTTCCTCAATCACACAAATTTCTGTTATGGTAAATATGGTTTTAGGAGAAATAGCAGTACTGAAACTGTTTTTCAGAGATTTCACTATGTAAAAATGTTGACATATTAGGATTGTTTCAAATCAAAATAAACTTTATTGTCAGAATATTTTGTATCCCATCAACAAAGCTTTGTAGGTATAAATATAAGCATAACTAATGGTGTATAGATAAAAACTGACAATTAATAAAGGTTTGAATAAAACAGGTACAAATACAATAAATATAAAATGGAATACACTTTTAAAATGATTCATTATTTCAAATAAACACTAGAATTGCCATATTTACCGAAGCGGGAACTTGTCGTCGACTCGTTAGGACTGTAATACTCGTCACAGGTTGAGGAAACGTTATTTTCCATCTGATGGCAAAACGTTGGAGGTTCCACTGTTATTTTTGGGCAAACGTGGGCTTCGTTCTTTGAAGAGGGGTGTATCGTATGCCTTCTTTCAGGTTTGCGCCGGGATCTCTTCAAGTCGCCTTTAATTTCTCGCAGTGTTATGGGACCCCAAGCGACTTCTTCGTCGCTGCTGTAATAGGAATTCATCACTATTTTCAAAACCCCAACGGTCACCTGCGTTTAAAATCTAACAACAAAATCCGCAACTTCGTTTGACATAAACCCAATGTTGCCACTGAATATCTTTGTACTGAATCGCGGACAGATGTCGTACTAGATTAAAAAGCATGTTATCAAGTGTTATAGGGAAAAAAAAGGTTTTCGCCTTTTACTTTTCCATTTATATACTGAAAAAATGTAGGAAGACAAATTGGAAGAGAAAGCTCTTTCGAAACAATTACTTTCATATAAACATTGAGTTATACGAAAGAAAAACTCTTTCAAAACAATTACTTTTACTTATATGAACATTGAGTTATACAAAAAACACTATTTTCTTTTCAGTTTGTATTACAAACAATCGTTATTGTTATCAGATATCATTCACAGCATTGCTACACAATATAGTATGAGAAAGAGGTAAAATTTCACTCAGATGGAACACTGTCATCCTCAATGATAGACATTCGATGTTTCGGAATAAGACGATTGCCTTATTTGCCTCTTCGGCACTAATCTGGATTTACAAGATGAAGCATTCAATTAATTATTAACATTACAACTTCATACCAAGAATGGGTTGAATCTATTCATGTCAATCAATCAATCATGCTTTATTGTCCAAAATCCTTATTGACAAAGCTAGTTAAACTTTATGAAATCAACAATGTTAAAGTTCTAAAAAGATATTAAAATCATTTTATACAGTGAATAATCATTATAGGGTTAAAAAATGTACATTTATCAATACACATCAATAAAACAATATATAAACCATTACAGATAATAAATAAATAAATCATTACAGATATATCAGCATTTGAACTACTGAGAGTTGAAATACATCATCGTAATATTCCTTTAAGTCATAGTAGGCTTTTTTCAATAAGTGCTCTTTAACTAATTTTCTGAATTTTTAAAAATTAGTTATTGCCCTCTATAGCACATTAGAAGGTGGTTGTATATTTTCATCGATGAGAATTCGTAATGACATTCATTCGCTTAATTGATTCAATCTCAGCCACAGGAATCTTGTTTAATTTGAAAGTGGCATATTTTTAGGAGAGAATAATTTTTCAGAAAGAAAGGTTTTGGCGTTCTACTTCTCCATCTTCACACAAAATAAATATGGGAAAGGAAGAAAGTATATCACAGTATAGAGGAATTGGACACAGAGATTGATTCACTGTGATTATATCCCTTGTTTTTTGAATGTTTGTTTATTTGAATAAAATGTGTGGAAAAAAGGTAACAGTAAAACTTAAAAGTTTCAAAAAATGCACATGCACCATCAACAAAATACACACTAAAACCTATATAGCATTATTTTTTCTAGAAGTAGAAAAGGAAGTCAAAGCAATCAACTTTTGTATTTGATTAGAGGAAGCTTTTATTTGGATTATACCTTGCACTCAGTATAATATATGTGTTCTATGCCAAATGCTTAATTGTCAATGTTCAATGTCACCGATATTCTGTCTTATCTTATTCCGTGCTAGTGTTTAGTACTTCTCGCGAGTTGTACTCGATCAGTTGGTTTTTGTTGAAGATAAATAATTTTTTATTTTTTTTTCTCGTTAAAATGGCAAATTTGAGGCAAACTCCTTTAACTTGCAGTGGCCACACTCGTCCGGTAGTACATCTAGATTTCAGTGAAGTTACGGACAGCGGATACTACCTAATTTCGGCTTGTAAAGGTAAGTAAATGTAACATTGCTACAATTACTAACCTTCGATGTCCAAGACTGTTACACCTTGGCCTGATTTAAAATAATAAAAATGCTACATGTTGTTTGACCTGAAAGACATGAATGCTAAATTATTCGCTGACTAAGGTCGGTCTCAAGAATCTTCCTGTTTTTTACTTTTCCATCAGGCCATATTTGAATAATCCTGTTACAATGAATAATTTGATTACCTTGTAATCTGATGAGATTAGATTTTGAAGTTGAACAACTGCGACTTATTTCTCGACAATAGTTTTATTATAATTCTCGTGTTTTTATCAGTAAAAAACTTATACATACAGACTCAGGCCCTGGAAGGTTCTATGTTACCTTTCACCTGAAAAATCAACCTTTTTTAAATATCTTATCAAGCCATTGTCCAAGAATGAGAATAATTCAAATACATGAAGAAAATATATGCATGTTTCTTCACCAACAATAAATTATATGAGGCATTCCAACCTTGATATTACACGTGTAAGTGAAACATTCTAGTGGTGACCTACCAGCAAAATTTGATTGTATCTTAGTTTTGACTTCTTTCAAGATGAATAAAAGATCAAATGACTTTTGCCATCTCTAAAGCTTTATCTTTATTTTCAGCTCGATGAAAATTCATAAATTATTTTTTTCTCACAATTTGTAAAACTAAAAAGAAAAATTTTATCAGAACTTACCTTCTGCATAATTCTGCTTCATTCAGTTTTTGGGGCTATACAGTTTCACACGTAAAGTTCGCGAAATAGGTATGTAATTCATCAGTTCGGACTTTCATTGTCTAATTTAATATAAATTGATTTGAAATTCCTGAAACTGAAAAAATTATAGAGATTAACCGAAAAGTAACAATTTTATTGAACAAAAAACTGAAATTACAAAGAAATAACACACAAGCAATAACCAAAAAAATAAAATGAAAAAATGAAATAAAACAATATTAAAAATATATTAAATTAGACAATGGAAGTCCGAACCGATGAAATACACCACGAAACATGCAGTTGGTTAGTACCTCGTCCACTAGATGGAGTGACATTTTGTGATGATGTTCGCTCCACCTACTGTGTAGGTAGGTATATAGAGACTGGCCTGAACGTTTATAGTTCTGCTTCAGATTTTTTAAATGTAATAGATATACTCCAATAACCCATATGTTAAGAGACTTTACAGTGGCAATCAGTAACCAAAAGGTTGACTATCTCACCAATGATCTCCATTTTTAAAATTGTCAAAGATTTGATGCCAACTTATTTCAAACAAGTCATCAAGTTTAATCATGAGGTCCGCGAATACTGTACTAGAAGTGCAAATAATTTTCATGTGGATAGACTTATACCAGAAAAGGTATGAACTCACTTTTCATACGAGGTTTAGTTGAATATAATTCCCTTCCAAATGAAATTAAAATATGTGATACACTTGTATCGTTTAAGAAAAAACTCTCAAAATATCTGTGATTGTTATGAATGTAGTTATATTGTATTATAGATTTTCAGCTGAATTGAGTCAGTTATTGTATAGTTTTTATATTTGTATTATCTCAATCTTACTTTGTTTATTGTTAATAATGTATGCCGAAACAACATACTAAGCGAGGATCAATTCGGATTTAAAAAACGCAAGAATACGAATGATGCCATATTGGCGCTAATGACCAAAGTCTACAAACAAATTAATGAAGGGCAATCAACCGCGGCAGTATTTTGCGACCTAACCAAGGCCTTTGATTGCGTAAATCACCAAATTCTGTTAGACAAACTTGATTATTATGGTTTCAGAGGAATTAGCCTACAGTGGTTTAGATCTTACCTGGAGAATCGTAGCCAGTTGGTAAAAACTGACCACTATTCACGTATTGGAGCTACTAGATGTGGGGTGCCTCAGGGTTCGGTACTGGGACCTATTTTATTTTTGTTATATGTCAACGATATCTCCCATTTGAATATATCTGGGAGGTTCACGTTATTTGCAGATGATACCACTATACTTTGGCACAGTAGTGATGAAACATCTTTACACAATGTCATACAACGTGATCTCAAAACAATAAGAACGTGGTTTGACAATAATCTCCTTGTACTCAACATCTCCACCTGTGTTTATTTGTGTTTATACATCTGTAAGTGTTATTTTAACTATATTTTAACATACATCCATGTACGACAACTGACTTTGTCAACAAGAATTGTATTCTTTCGACAATAATGCATATTCTGATTCTGATATTTTGATATAAATTCATACATGGATTCATTCATTGTATTATGTTTTGATATAGTATTTACTTAATAATCATTTATTATAGAATTACAACTTTGTATTGTGAATATTAGGATTAATCCTATTAAATAAAGACTACTTACTTACTTACTTACTTAACTCTGTATGCTGGTGTGATATAAATAATATCTTCAACAGGATGGCCCTCCTCCCCATAATGCAGCAATAGTAAGGTAACATTTAGATGTAATATTCCCAAGGAAATGGATTGGAAGCAATTGATCAATCAACTGGCCAGCTCGATCCCCAGATCTTACTCCTTTAGTTTTTTTTTGTCTTGGGATACATAAAGGATAATTTTTTTTTAACACCAAGTACAGATATGGACCATCTCAAACAAAAAATTAGAGATGCATGTATTAGTATTACACCTATTATTCTAGAAAATTGCCACAGAAATTTTCTGGACCGACAACTTATGTGCATTCAACAAAGAGATCGTCAGTTCGAGCATTCAATGTAGATTGCCATGTAGCTTTGATTTTCCGTATTGATTTCATTTTTCCCAAAGTTTCATGATAAAATACATTGTTTTACTGTTTGATTGTTGTCACTGATGATGGTGGTAAATTACAAATGAAACGCTATAAAAATATCAAATATGATATACCGTTGGATTGTGAATTTATCGCTTTATCAATATCTGTAATAAAAAAGACAGGTCCGTATTTAAAAAAAAGTTGTTGGTGGCCATGTTGACATGAAACATTCTATCGAATATTTATTACTACATCGTCATAGTTATTGAGTATTATTTTTTCAGATGGCAAACCCATGTTACGTCAAGGTGACACGGGCGACTGGATTGGCACGTTCGAGGGCCACAAGGGGGCCGTATGGGGCGTAGCCCTGAACGCTGACGCTACCAGGGCGGCCAGCGGAGCGGCAGACTTTACGGGCAAAGTTTGGGACGCCATCTCTGGTGAGGTATTGCATTCATTCCAGCACAACCACATCGTCAAGAGCGTGGACTTCTCCAGAGATTCTGGAATGATGGTTACCGGAAGCAACGAGAAACTTGTCAGGATATTCGATCTCAACAAACCGGAAGCTAGTGAGTTTATATGTTGAGACTTGTTTCTTTAAAAGGTTGTTTTTTACGATGAAATGTAAAACTGGAACCTCAGGCGTAGAATAAATTCAAAACCACCAAACAGTGAGAATTGACAGTAATGAATTGACTTGCCAACATCGTGTATAAATAGGGTAAAGAGCAGGGGTCCCAAATGAGAGCCCCGAGGCAGTCCAGAAGGTACCAAGACTCGTTCTGATTCAAAGTTTTCAATATTGACTACCTGTGACCTGTTTTGGAGATGATCGCTTATCTAGTGAATAATAAAACTGGGAAGACCTAACAAGACCAACTTCTGTACCAATAGATTATGGTTAACACAATGAAACGCTTAACTGAAGTTGAAGATTTGTTAAATCAAATCGTACAACAACATTGATTGTTTGAAATAAATTTACATATACAACTTGAAAATAATTTATTAGTCCGCTGCGTAAGGAAATAGACTATACATGGGCTGTTCAAAAAATACTGTGAAGGTTCAAATTTCACGGGCTACATACGTTGGATTACCGTGTTTTATGTTGGTCTCGAGTGTACCTGCTCGCCCTTAAATCTAGGGACTTCAACATAATCTGTGTTGTAGATGTTAGTTTGCAGAATCCAATAATTTTTTTTACGTCCATGGACCTAACAAATATTAGGTGAAACCAAAATCATCAGGTTTTTTTTTTAAGAACTTTATTCAGATAATGCACTTATGGTTACAATAAATATTTCTATTCATTCTATTCTATTCATATTTATTCATCACCAAAGGTTATACAAACTGTGTTGACTTACAAAATGCATAACATTTATCGGACTAGTCAGAGAAAAAAAATATACACAATATATGTTCACATAATGAGAAACATAATCGTATAAATCTAAAGAGAGATAGACAAAACTAAAATAAGAGAGATAGACCTACGTAGACTATATAAAGTTAAAAGTCTAAAAGTCTAAAAACTCATCAATACTATAGAATGAGTTATCAATTAAAAATAGATGTAAATTTTTCTTGAAAATATTAATGTTGTTATTATTGTCAATAAAGCTCTTTACTTTGTTAAAACATTTGATACCCATATAATTTGGTGAATTTTGGCATACTCCAAGTCTAGAATAAGGCTGGTAAAAATTTCCTCAATTTCTAGTCAAATACGAGTGAACATCACGATTTTTTTTTAAACTCTATTTCATTTTCCTTTACAAACATTATTAACTGAGATATATAAAGACAAGGCAGCGTCATTATTTGAAATTGTTTAAATAGAGGTTTGCAGATTGAACTTGGATGGGATTGAACCCCAGAAGATCAGTCCATACTGTAGGGCTGACTGAACTAACCCAAAATAAAGTGTTCTTAAAACGTCATGTGAAACAGTTTCTCTTAAGTTTCTTATTATATAACAGGAAGTGCTCATTTTTGAACACAATGTTTGTATGTGTGCTTCCCATGTTAGTTTCGAATCCAAAGTGAGACCCAGAAATTTTATAGTTTTTTTACTCTGAATGGAACTGGCAGAGACTACCAGGTATAGCTCAGAATTGGGTGCAACATTTTTTGGCAGAAAACGCATGTGGTAAGTTTTGGCGACATTCATCGTGAGACCGTTATTTAAGCAGTAGTTACTTATTTTTTTAGAGGCCACATCACTCTTTTTTACTAGTTGTTCAGTATTTTTATTTGACATAAGTATATTTGTGTCATCCGCATAGATAATCATCTGATTTGACGTAGTGCAGGTATCTTTAATGTCATTTATAAATATAATAAAAATAGCGGTCCCAGAATGGATCCTTGGGGTACACCTAGATGTATTTCTCTCGCGTTTGATCTCACGCCATCTACCACTGTGACCTGTTCTCTATTCATAAGATATGATGTAGCCCAGTCATGTGCAACACCCCCTGACACCAATGCCATCTGGTTTCATGAGCAATAGCTTATGATCAATTGTGTCAAAAGCACGACTGAAGTTATAAAATAAACTAAGAACATGATTTTCATTGTTCAGAGCATCGTAAATAAAACCAATGCAATCCAGAATAGCTGTTTTTGTTGATTTATTGTTTCTGAAACCATGTTGAGTATTAGAAAGTAGCTCAAAGTGTTCTAGATAGTTTATTAGTCTGGTAGAGTAGGCTGATTCAAAAAGCTTAGATCGGTAACATTTTAAATCATCTTTTGAGCCTTTATTTTTGAAAACTGGTATGCATTTGGACACTTTCAAATCTGGAAATGCCCCATATGTAAATGATGCATTGATCAAATAGGAGAGTGGTTCAGCAATAACGTCGCCTACTATTTTCATCACTTTACCATTTATTTCATCTAAACCAGCTGCGGGTTTAGATGCAGTTTTTGACAGCATTCTTAAAATTTCATCAGGCGTCGTTGGTGATAAAAAAAAGCTTGATTTGGTTTTCTTGATTTTTTTATCGTAGTTTGGTACATTTGTTTTGAAAGAGTCGATAAAGAAATCATTGATAAAATTGCTCTTTTTTAAAGGATCGATAATTGGGTCCCCATGATTGTCAATAATGTTAATAGAAGAACTAATGAAATTGTTAGATTTTGACTCGTTTATGATTTTCCAGCTATCTTTCATGATGTTATTAGATTATATTATTCTGTTATCGTTTCTGCTTCTCTGATGTTTTCCTAGGTTTTTATATTCTTTTTTTTATTTGTTTATAGTGTTCTGTATAGTGTGGATCATCAACCTCTTTTCTAATTTTGTCCATTTTGCAGAGTTGGTCATGCATTAGCTTTATTTCAGGTGTGAACCATTTTTTAACTTTATTTGGATTATTAGGTTAGGTTAGGTTAGGTTAGGTTAGGTTAGGTTAGGCTGACTAACCTCAAATACTCTGTTTATTTCTATGTTATCATTGTCGTTTTATTTGGAAATTGACATAATAATACATTTTTTTGACATTACAGAACTTCCAATTACATTTCTTCTTTCTTCATTGTAGGTCCAGAAGTTTTCAGCGGACATACATCAGGAATAAGGCACGTTCTCTTTTTCCGAGACGACACTCATTTAGTTTCTTGTGCGGACGATAAAACGTTGAGAGTTTGGGACAGGTCAACGGGAAAGGTGAGAATTTTTCGGTTGATTCTTTTATAGACATTCTGAAGATACCCAACCAAGAGTGAAATTTTTGAAACAATTACTTTCAGTACTACGTCTTGAGATGTTATGTTTTTCTTTGCTACAGTCACAATTGAGGTATGGTAGTTTAGGAAATGAACAAACAAACTGTTATCCATAATTTACTATTTACCCAACAGCTAATATCATTTTGATATACCTAATAATCTAGAAGTTATGACTTGTCTAATAAAGCTACAGTTTTAGAACATGTCACAAAATACGATAAAATTAACATATGCTCAGAAAGTAAAATATAAAATCTTCAGAAGATACTGTGCAATAAAAATAATAATACAGTACATACATACAAGGCATTTTTGCTCTATGGTCCAGAGAATGAATGGAAAAAGTCATTAAAACCATATAGGGGATTTTCAGTAAGTAATGTCTTTAAATGTTTTTCGAATTTAGTAAAGTTCAGAGAACGTACTGTGAGAGGTAGGGCATTGTACATTTTAATATCAATAGTATCATCCATTCTTTGTAACCGGGTTTGAGGTATAATCAAATTATCTTTATTTCTAGTACTGTGACTGTGTATATCGGACACAACAGAGTAACTATTAATGTTTTGTTTGGCGTATAGTAACTTTACAAAAATTATCAGAGAGTAAAGTGTCATTATTCTCAACGTTTTAAAGATTGGTTTGCAGGAGTCTTCAAAATTAGCTCCTATAATAGATCTTACAGCACTCTTCTGAGCTGCCGAGCTCCAGACAGACAAGCCATATCTAATAATGGATAAGTAGTTATTGCAGCGGATTGGTTAATAAGTTGTTTAACTTTTCTTATAGCAAATACTGCACTATTTAGTCTATCGCAAATTGTATACAGAGTGGTCCAACGAAAAGTATGCACCTTGCTTTTCTCCTTTTTTTGTAACTTAACGCAAAAATGCTCGGACAGGTCAATTTTGGTTTTGAGGGGGACACATTTTAGATGTATTTTTCTACCTGTGCTTTCAACCCCCTAGCGAGGGTGAGTAACAACCCTAAAATTTTAAATGGAAAGTGGGGTCGAGTGATATATATTTGTTGTATTTCACTCAAACATGTAGGTATTATGAAGAAAAACAACTACAACCCAGTACTTTGAAATGTGTAATTGACTTAGTAGAATCCTACTTCAGCAAGTGCTGAAAACGTGACCCATTTGCTTCCGTACAATAATACAGATTTTGTTCAAATATATTCCTAACATTCTGTAGCATATCAGGTGTTATACTTCTGCACTCTGCTGTAATTCGTTGGCGAAGATCTTCTATGGACTCGGGCTGCGTAGCAAAACATTTATTTTCCAAGTGTCCCCAAAGGAAAAAGTCTAAAAGCGATAAATCAGGTGATCTGGCGGGCCATTCGATGGGGCCTCTCCTTCCAATCCACCGTCTAGGAAACCGGTCATCTAAAAACTCTCTTACCGGAGCAACATGTGAGGAGGTGCTCCATCTTGTTGGAAATGAAGCCGATCATCATTATGATTTTGGTCATTTTCAATTATTTCTGTTATGAGAGGATCAATTGTATCTTCAAGCATGTTCAGGTAGACCTCACCAGTTGAATTCCCAGGAATAAAAAGTGGCCCTACGATATGACTACCTAATATGCCTCACCAGACATTGATTTTTTGAGGGTACTGGGTATGGACCTCTCGGAATAAGTGTGGGTTACTGTCATCCCAGTAAGGGCAATTATGCCTATTCACAGCTCCATTCAAAAAAAAGTACTCTCATCGGAAAAGCACGTGTTGAATGATAGGTGCGGATCATCAATTAGTAGCTGGCTCAGTTGTTCACAAAATTGCAGCCTTCTATAAGGATCATCTTCATTGAGTTCCTGTACTAATTTAATTTTGTACGGATGAAATTTATAGGCTTTTAATATCCGTATTATGGACGAACGGGAGACACCTGAGGCTGCAGCAAGCTGACGGGTACTTTGAGTATGATCCAATTCAACATGTCCCAAAACAGCGACTTCCACTGCTTCATTTCTGATCGGTTTCCGTGGCTGGTGTTTCACATTACAGACAGATCCGGTATCGACAAACTTTTGGACTAACTTGGCAACGTACGAATCATTCACATTTTTCCCGGGATGACTGTTATTAAAGGGGCGAGCAGTAAGTCTAGCACAACTATTACGTTGATAATAAAGTTTAACAATTTCAACTCGTTCAGGAATGGAATAAACCATTTTTACAGTAAAGTTGAAATAATTTCAAAAGCAACCGAACCGAATCAATGAACGTTTGCCTAAATTCTTTTTGTACACTTATCTGCTGTTGTTATTTAACCCAAAAAACGCACGAGAGAAATTGAGGAATGTAGTAGTGATAAAAATGCCGTTTCATCCGCATTTTCAAACACCAAAAATATTGAGTAAATGTTCTTGCTTTTTTTATAACTATTCAAGTAAATACAACAAATTAGGTATCATTGGAAAGAGAATTTTGTGACCTTTCAAATGATATATCACTCGACCCCACTTTCCATTTAAAATTTTAGGGTTGTTACTCACCCTCGCTAGGGGTTGAAGGCACGGGTAGAAAAATACATCTAAAATGTGTCCCCCTCAGAAGCAAAATTGACCTGTCCGAGCATTTTTGCGTTAAGTTACAAAAAAAAGAGAAAAGCAAGGTGCATACTTTTCGCTGGACCACTCGATATATATGTATGTCAGAGTGTCAGAAATGCTTTATTGTCTTAAAAGTTTAGGTTGAGAACTTAAACAATCTGAAACATTAACATAAAGGTCAAGAATTTAGAACAAGATATTAATATGGCTCAAGCACACTTCAAAAAGTTTATGGTAAAAGTCTGTGATAAAAAATTGTATATGTTGACAAAACAGGCTTAAAAACCAAAACAATCAGAAACATTAAAATAAAGGTCAATAATTAAAATGAGATATTAATATGGATACTACGTTCCATAGTAGCCAGACATCTACATCTACACCCAGAAATTTAGTGTGCAGCATGTCTAGGTCGTTTTCTACGTTGTAGGATATTCTGGATTCGAAAATGAGACTTTTGGTTTTTTTTTCATTTAGTATGAGCTTGTTTGTCAAAAACCGGGTTTTTGCTTGTTCCATAATTTCCCCAAGGATTGTAGCCGGACACTCCCCTTTATTAATACTGATGCCAAATGTGGTGTCATCAGCATACATAATTGTCTCGATATTTGAGGTGAACATATTTGGCAAATCGTTAATATAAATAATAAAGAGAAGAGGGCCCAATATTGTTCCCTGGGGAACTCCTCCACTTACTGTTTGAGGAGCGCTTCACTGATTTTCAATGCAAACTACTTGAAATCGATTGGATATGAAGTAGGATTTGATTAGTTTGAGTGCCACTTCTCTTATTTCGTAGTACTACATTTTCCTCAGTAGTATGTCATGATCAACGCAACCAAAAGCTGCACTTAGGTCTATGAAGGTTCCCAAACATTTTTCGTTTCTTTCAAAACTGGTTTTTATAGCACTAGTTAATGACTTTATAGCATCCAAAGTGGACATATTTTTCCTAAAACCATACTGCTGAGGACTCAGGATTTTGTTCTAATCGAAGTAATTAACTAGTTGATTGAATAGTATAATGAATCAGTTTGAATAATATGATATTGTATATAATTAATGACTCATAATTTTACCATAGTTAAGGTATAAACTAATAAAAAATTAAAGCACTACAAAAGAAATACCTTCCTAATAACTAATAATTTTATCAGAGTTCAGATATAAACTTATTGAAAATTCAAAAAAATATTACCAACTCATTAAATGTTTAGGTAATAAATTAATTAACAATTTCCACATTATAAAACAGAGGGGTAGAATTCGTTTCAATTGTAAATTTTCCGAATTCATAAATCTTTTAATTTTTAAGCATTCCCTTTCTATTCCAAATGTAATATGTTATATTCGTGGTTGAACTCGTACCTCTCCGCCAAAAGATGTTTTGCAAATGTAAAATTGGTCTTCACATTCAAGAAAATACTCATACGTTCTTTTATTCGTTGTAAAAAGGTTCTTCTCGTTTGACCAATATAAATTTTTGAGCAAGAAACACATGTCAATAGAATTGAATTCTTCCCCTCTGTTGAATCTGTTTTCTGTATATGAATGAGACATTTTTTCAGGAAGTGCAAAAAGTCGACTTCAGCTCGAGCCCCAACAGCATGGAGATATCGAAAGACGGCTCAGTCCTGACGGTGGCCTACTCCAATCGCGTCGCCTTCCTGGAAGCCCAAACCTTGACGAAAATCCGCGAATTCTCAGTCCCCTCGACCGTCAGTTCGGCGTCGCTCCACCCCGACAAGAGCATCTTCGTCGCTGGCGGAGAAGACCTGAAAGTCTACAAATTCGATTACACGACGGGCACGGAAATCGAGTCGTTCAAGGGCCACTTCGGCCCTGTGCACTGCATCAAGTTTTCGCCGGACGGTGAGCTGTACGCTTCCGGTTCCGAGGACGGCACTTTGAGGTTATGGCAGACGACGGTCGGCAAGACTTACGGCCTGTGGAAATGCGTGGAGGGGCAGACGAACGTCGAGCCCCTTATGCCCCCCAAGGAGGTCCAGGCTAACTGAAGGGCGAGACGGGGCGGGAGAGTTACTTGTTCATAACGGCTATGAAATTATTGCGGAAAGGAGTTGGCGAACGTGAACGTTTCTTTGCTACTTTTTCACAGGACGACGTTGACCTGTTTTGAGAGCTTTTCATGCTGACTAGTTGCAAACAGGTTAATAAAAAAAATATTTGAGTTTTTTTTTTCGCTGCGCCTCAAGTGAGTACTGCAAATGTTAACGGCGGAATTTTTTTGGGGAATTAGGGTAATTTTTTTAAAACATTCAATATTCAGTGTATGTGCGGACATTTTAAAATAGAAGTTTATTTGAAATATGACTAATTTATGTGCCTATATTTTAAGATACATTCACAATTCACAGTAAAATTTTTGGAGGAAATCGGGGTTGTTCAATAATTTTTTGGGGACTGTCCACAATTTGAAAAAAATGAAAATTATAATGAAGAACTTTATACAGGTTTAGCAAATTTCTAGTTCACCCCTTATTGAGAAAATAAAAAAACACATGAGATATCTAATTGGCAGTTTTCAAAACCGCGACACATGTCTTGGAAATTCCACAATAAATTTTTTTTGAGAACGTTATAATGGATTTTTATCAAGATCGGTCAGTTCTATCATATTTTTTTATTTTTGAGAAATGTTTGGGGCCGTTCTAGCATTACGTAAGCGCTATTGGGGAACTGGGGGTCTTTGCTTTGCTTATTTTTGATAACATGGGGGCAGGGGGGTCTAGATGGTGAGACTTCCCTGGGAAACACCAGAACAGGCTTCAATTGTAAGTGGTATGTAATTTTTCCTGTAAGGAAGCTGTCAATCCAATTAAAAACACTACCCCCAAAGCCAAAGGATTCTAGTTTTCGAATTTTCGAAGCAATGCAATATGATTAATTCTCGTCAAACGCCTTTGAGAAATCTTTATAAATTGAGTTAACTTGGTACCATTCAAAATTCAGTTATCGATAAATACACAAAATATTCCCTTCTGATAGATACTGGTTTAAAAATAAACTTATAAATAAACTTGAATTGTCAATGAACAACTTCAGAATACTTACAAACGACATTGGACATCACAATGAATCAACGATGAAATTGAGTCATCTGAAGCAGTTGTCAGAAACTATTGAAAACACTGGCTGGATAGCCTTAGTTGCTGAGGCAATTGTATCGATAAGAAGAAGAATTGAAAAACAAGTACAATGATTTCCAGCTGCATTCCAGTTAAAACTTCATCAGTAGCCCATTGCTGTAGTTCAGGAATTGTATGTTATAACTGACAACATTAACCATACTTGTCAGAAGTTCAGAAGCATTTTGAAATGTCTGTTGCCTGCCATTGTTCACCAGAATGTTCTAGTGACAACATAGAATATGGTCAGAAGTTAGTTGTCAATGAACACTTCAGAAATTATATGTATTGATTCATATCTTTAAAAAATTCATTAGCAGCTCAGTGCCGTAATTGACAGACTTAGCTCTGTAATAAATAATCTTTCGCATTTCATTGGTTGAATTTTTTAATTCTGAGAAATGAAACTTTCTATGTTCTTTAACTTGTATTTGTAACTAAACTCACTACGGTTTCCTACTACAAGAACATTTATTGTATTCGCTTGAAAATGTTCTTATAAGACGAAACTGCAGTAACGTTAGTTACAAATACAAGTGACCAAAAAACAGAAAATTTTATTTCTCATTTTTCATGATGATCTACCACGTAGTAACGGCTACATTCATCAGTTTATTTTTCAATTCTGTTAACAGTTTTTAATGAACAGTTCATGATCACTTCTCGGATGAACACATAAGTTAGACGAAAAACAATTTGTTGCTTCTTTATAAACACTATAAGCCACTAACCATCTGAAAACGTCATATTCTGCTTGATAACATGGCAACATTTCAAAAAAAAAACTGATTTGAATGTGCAAAACCTATAGGAATCTATATCTGGTGAATTGTGGAATGTTGGTCACTTTGCAAATCACCAAAAAAGTCACTGAACTTCAATGAAAAATTAATTGACCTTATTAAAGTGTTCAGTTTGAGTGATGCGGCCCCATGGTTGCCAACTGCGGTAAAATAATGGCATTTGACATTTGATAATGAATAAACAACCTATCGTTCTGAGTTCCTTCTGCATTTTCATTTTTGGGACATAATTGACCTTATTAAGTGATGCGACCCAATGGTTGCCAACTGCGGTAAAATTTTGACATTTACTAATGAATAAATAACCTATCTTTTGTGAGTTCCTTCTGCATTTTCATTTTTGGGACATGAATGTTTCTTCATTCTGGAGCCCCAACTTCAAATAGGACGACTGGAAATCTCTTTTCGGCCATATTCTGGAAATCAGTTTCTCATATACTAAAAATGAAAATGCAGACGGAACTCGGAAAGATAGGTTATTTATGTATTAGCAAATGTCATTTAACTGCAGTTGGCAACTATGGGGTCGCATCACTCAATAAGGTCAATAGTCAATTGCATGTTGCATAAAGATGATGGCGAAAATCTGAAGTGGCCTTCATCATCAGGAATTTTATGTATGTCATGGAATGAAGGCCACTTTACCATTATGCAATTTTCTTCATGCAACTTGCAATTTTGCGTCTGCGCATGCAAGAAAACAATTAGCTGGTGCAATTTTCAGGCTATTTAGTGACATTTTTGGTGATTTTCAATGTAACCCAAAATTCACTGGATGTACTTAAAAGGTAGCCAAATTACAGAGAAACTTAGATATATGGAATGAAAAAACACATTTGGTTCATATAATTTGTACTTTCTTGAGCCCTTATTTTTTTTATAGATTTTTTAACATAATTTCAAATAGGCACAGAAATTTACCCAATGAAAATGCCACTGAAAATTTTGGTTTTTTTCATTTTAATTTTTTTGGGTTTATATGTCTTCATGGACTTTATAGTAAAGATTGTTTATGATAATTCTATTTTATTTTGTATCACAAACAACGGTAATTGTATAATTGGTTTATATGGTGGAAAATGTGGTTAGTGATGTTTCTGGGAAATAACTGTTTTGTGTAATAAAGAAATACAAAACAATTTTATGGCTGTTGTCGTCAGAATTATTTCTCAAATCATTAGGAAAAGTGACTTTTTGAGCAGAAAGTCCATGGAAGACACCCTTCTCTAGTGACCTATATGCCACTGTGTCAACCTCAGGATACTGTTAAATACGCTGCAGAGGAATTGCTTATGGTTTGGGTCATATCTGCTGGGCAGAAAATAGTGTGTAAAGATCTCAGATGAACATTCAAAATGGTTCGAAATCAGTTCGGGAGTTCCTCAGGGGTCAGTGCTTGGTGCTATCCTATTTCCGCTCTATCTCTCAAGTTTTCTTGGTTTCAGTGTAAAGAAAACAAACAATAATAATATTGTTATTATTTTCAAATACATTTTTGAAGCAAATAAATTAGGTACAATTTGGACTTGTTTATTTTACGGAAATTCATGTTCACTGAGGATACATTATAGAAACACACTTTTACTATCGTGAAAAATAGACAAAATCTGGGTCGCCGTTGACGTCAATCAACAATTCCGAAGCGATGCACATGCGACGGTTTTTTAGTCAACCACTGCTGAATACAACATTGAAAGACCAAACAAATGAGGTATCACAAACCCCTTTTTCTATTAAAAACAAGTGAATAGCATTCTATATATCGGTATCGAATGACTTTACAACTTTTTTATCATCAAGTACTAAATATGAGCCATTATATATTCATGTAGTCCTACTGAAAAGTGAAGAGGATGGAACTTTTTATGTTCATGATATCCTCTCAGAATAAATCACAGAATCTCCACTTGAATATTCAGATGACATTTAGGAATACCCTGTATATATTGAACGGAAGTAAATTTTTGTGGAGGAAATCAGAATTATTATCAACCTTTTTTGGGGTATTTTTCAACTTCCGCAATCTGGAAAAATAAAAAAATTTAAATGGAGATGAAAATACCCAAACAGTCAATAAAAACACTGTATATATTATCCAGTGTAAACACATACACGAGTTTTTACAGATACCGTACGTTTGAAAGCCCATGCAATTGTTCTGAGAAATTCTGTCAATATATGTTATTTGTTGCCCGATAGTGATTATCAGCTTCAGCGATACCCTTCGACTTTTGACCTTAATAGTAATTAACCGAATTCCTTGTGTTTCCAAGGCATTGCACATCTCTTTGTGAGAACCAGTTTGCTTCAGTCGAGCAAGCTAAGATTAATTTCCAAATCGATTTTACCGAGTGAAGCCCCGGCCATTTTGGTATTTTTTATCAGTTTTGTACACACCGGAATCTGCATGATTTTTCCACGGGACGATAAGGAGTTTCGAGATCTATTCGGCAGATCTTCAGGTGAGTGTATAACAAGTAAACAACCGATGGACAATAATATTATTAATTTGGCAAGTTCGTATTTTCGAAATGTATAATCGTAGATAAAGTTAGGAAAAAGAACATGTGACAATATGAGAAAACCAAGTAATCAAGCCCTATTATTTCGAACTCAAATTTAATGATACGTGTAATTTATCTGAGATCTCCATCTAAAAACAGAAGATTGTGTTTCTAAGAATAAACTCTCTGTAACTGACATCAATGTCAGTTACAAAGAAGTCAATGATGAAATCCTAAAAGAATGAATAAATCAAACATACTGACATTGCATATGACTGACTCAACTTTTTCCTCAACAAAGCTCCACTTAATACCAAGTGGAACTTAGAGATAAAGTTTGTTGCACGATACGGTTTCAACATTAACGGTTGAGAGCCACTGGGATTCATTTTTAGCTAACTTCAAACTGAACTGAAGTTTGAGTAGAGCACGACCAGCTGTCGAAAACGCTCGATTAAAATAAATAGAAGCTTCAAATCCTTTTTGTGACATATATTAATATTAAAATACTGAAAATAAAGGAAAATAAGTTGAATTATCCAAAAAAAATATATAAATACAATGTCGTTTCATTTTTGTAGGATTACTTTTGTTGAAGGAATGTGTTTAAGAGAGAAATAAAATATTTTGAAGACTACCGTGAATTTTAATTATAAAGAGGCAAAGAAATTGTCAATTAAAGTTTGTCTGGTATGAATTCCTCTTAAATTTCTTCGCCAATTGAGGCGGGGCACATCTGAAATATTCCCGTGTCTAATGAGCTGCTGAAATTCATGATCCTGAATATTATCTGGTAATGAGATTCTCCTTCACCCATCCTTTTTACGATATTGTGAAGAACTCCTGTTGATATGATAACCTCTAAAGTAGTATCAACCTACAGCCATATGCTATAACAGAAAACCGTCTTTTCCAAATTCCAAAATGTCTTTATATTTTTCCTCTTGTTTGAATGTGTGACTCATTATAAAGCTGTTCCTTTGGTAAAATAGGGTCAAGGAGATGGGTCAGTAAATATGTTTGTAATTCATAACCACTATCACCTGCAAGAAACAAACATAAACAAAAGCTAGTTAAATGTAATGTACTTATATCAATATATATGAATACTATAATGAATTTCATTGTAATTGATGAATTCATCTGTCTGTGTTCCATACCAAGAAGACAGCAATTATTTGGAATTGTATTATTGTCAAAATTTCTTTTATTAAAAATAGTTGTATCATAAGAAAAGCCAGGCCATCTAACTAATAAGTTAGTAGGCATATAATCTGCATTTGACACGGCTTGTACATTAATGGAGAAGTATCCTTTTCTATTCTTCAACATTTCTGCATCTGGACCTCCTAAAATACAATAATAATAATAAGATATCAAATAGATAAATGTACTGCATGGTAACCGAAAGAAAAGTATAAGTTAATTGTTTTTTTTTCCTCTGAAGAAAAAACTTACCTACCTGGAGATTCAATCTTTACATGGGTACAATCTATGACACCCAGTACATTTGGGAATGATGCTATGTCATATAATTTGTTTTTTGTAAGACTTAATTCGGCTTGGGTTTGTGGAAATTTAATAGACTGTCAAGCAAATGCCCGGGATACACGTTTTTTACTATTTGAGACACAGTAGAATAATGCATTCCTCCAAAATCACTTATTTGTAATAAATGGGTCCATGTGGCATAAAAACGCAATGCAACTGAAAGTTGATTAATTGGTGAAACAGAGAAGTTCCAAAAAAAGTTTACTTATAAGTAGGTATATTGATAAAATTTGGCGCTTTTACAACATAGGTTTGCTTATAATAACAAATACCTATTATTTATGAATTCAATTTCCTCTTCAATTAACTCTAATACCATTAAAAAGGTTGTTTTTCGTTTTTACGGAATCTTCGAACAAAATCATGTTTGAATTGAAGGGGTTATATTTTTAGGAGTGATTAATTTTTGGGAAAGAGAGTTTTTGGCTTTCCACTACTCGATTTTGATACAAAAAAAGGATGAGGGAATCTTCCAAAGAAAAGAAGGAAGTACCTAATCAATTTGAAAATAAGTAACTCTATACATGGATGTGTAGATTCCCTCATCCTTTTTTTGTATCAAGATAGAATAGTAGAAAGCCAAAAACTTTCTTTCCCAAAATCATGTTCTTCAAAGAAGTCAAAATAATTCGCTCTACCATTAGTTCTTCGGGGAAATCGGTGTATAATAATTTCCACAACTTCTAGATCATCTAGAAACGCATCTAAATCGTTAAAGACCTCTTTTGCTTGAGTTTAACAAGTAATTAATGAGTAATGTCTGGCTAAATGCGCCGCACGGAAGCAATAGCCAAGAGAACCTAGAGAGAGAGAGAGAGAATGAGTAATGTAACAAAATCTCTCCTTAAATTGGTTAAGTGTCAAACTATCCTCTACTTATATGTAAGGATAACTTAGCGAATATAAGTAACAATTAAGTATTGGTGCAAATCATTAAGTTAATCTTGAATATTTAAGTAAACCTTAACTACTAAGTGGTGTTGGTGCAAATGGGTCTAGGTGATGGTAAACCACATATTATTGCGACTCGAAAATATTTCATTCGAATATTCGCAGTCTTATGATATAATTTGAACTATTGTTATTAGATCAGAGGTGTTTTCTAGCGTTAAATCGTATTCGACCGTGTAGGTATTCAAAAACTATTCGTAGTGACGTCAATAATAAGATTAGCCAGAATGGAATGATACAATTCGTGTCAGATGTCAAATTCAAAAATGAAAACAAACTTTTCAATTTTCTCTAACCTCAATTAGAATCAAATTTGTGTAGGTAATAATACCCAGCTTTATTTTGTAAATGTTCACAACGTATTAGATGAAAAGTTTTCAGCACTTTATAAACTAAAACGATCAAAAATAAAGTAGAAACTGACAACTGACGTAATGTAACATCAATTTCCGTTTCAAAACCAACTTCACGATAGTTTTCAATCATGAACACGTTTCAAATCATAGTTTATGATTTGAACAGAAACATGTAAACTGAAGAGTTTTGTCTCGTTTTATAATGAGGGTCAGCTTAATAAAAATGATGGCATTATCGCTTTTATTAGAGACAATTTAAACTTCACAGCCGATAAGACTCAAATTGGTGAAATTGAATTGATAAGAATTTTAGTTTCGAATTAGATGAAGATATGCATCATCTCCATTTATCACTCTCCTAGAACATGTCCGAATCTTTTTAATTCTGATCTAATGGAATACTTGGAACAACGAGGGCAATATGATGTTGATGTTGTCACAGGTGAACTCAATATGAATCTGTTGGGTGATAACAGATTGCTAAGTCACAGTCGCTTTGATAATTTTTTCCTAAGATACAAAAAACCGAAAACAAATCAAATCTTTCACAATTTAATATAGTATAACGGATCACTACCCCATATTTATTTCTATAAAATCTCTCTCCCCACCTATTGTATGTCGAAGTGATACCTATAAAAAATACCTTGACCGCAGATTAAATATCTGTGCCTTGACTACCAACCAGCTCAAACTTGATTTGAGAACAGAAAGTTTCAATGAAATGTACTCTAAAAATCATATTGACCAAATGGCTTCTATATTCACCGAAAAATTAAAATATTGCATGCAAAAAAACACAAATACTGTAAAAATAAAAAGTGAAAAAGACTGTGTGTATGTATGTCACTTTACCAATAATTGACTACACTGAGCAATAATCAAACTCAACTTTATTTCGCTTTGAATACAACAAACACAACTAAAACTTCAACTATTATTCGGATGTCTATCGTCTTACTAGATCGCTCCGCGTACCGCACTGTATAAATTCCACTTGCCTGTCTCGATGGGCGAGTGGATGGCGCTTATATTTGGCAATCGAAGGCGCCGGAATATTCCACGGAATTCCATCGAAGCCGGTAGGATTATTCTAGCTACATCTAGAACGGCAGTGAACATCGTACGTTCGCGAGCTACGTCACAATTGGTTTACGGCTACCAGTGGCGGCTGACGTTAATTTCTTTAGGGCATTACAACACTACACAGAATTATCAGTGAATTTGAAAAAAATATTGTTTATTAAAAGATTAGGTTATTCGGAACAGTAGGCAAATAGCACAAATTGATTTCTTCGATCCAACGGTATAACATTCATTGTCGTTGATAAAGAACAACGGATAATTCATTGGAATCTAAAGACGTAATTTCTTGTGAACAAATTTGTTATAAAATTTAAATTGGGGCTGACACATTGATCCGTTTAATCTGACATTTAATAAACAGTAGGTAAACAAACTACAAATTAATTTAATCGCTGTCTTCGATGTCGCTTATTATCAAAGAATTGGAGCTGTCGTCAGAAGAAGACCAAAATGTATTGCTATATTTGCCAACTATTATATTTGCAAAATTGTTTGAAGGTTTTTTCCTTGACACTATACAATTATCTTTATTTTTCAGTTCTCTATTTGGGCGTAAAGCTGGCGACAGTCTTTAACGAAACCTTCGATTATTACTGTCTAAGTAAGTATTATTTTTTGGTAGATGATTATTTATGCATTCAAATAGAAAACCAATGCAAATACATGACAGCTTATAGGAAAACCTAATGTACATAAATGTAAAGTTGAAAAATGACCAGTTTATCAAGTTGTTTAAATTTATTACCAATGTATTTTGTAAAATATAACCATTTATTTTCTTGTGAAGAATTGAGATGTTGATCTACAAAAACATATGACATTGTAACGAAAAAAACTTATGAAATAACCTAATATAATTAAACCAGAGCATTCATATCATGAGTACTGCTTATATGCAAATTATTAATATTCCTAGTGAAATAAACTCCTTTGTTGAAAGTAATTATTTCGTCCGAGATATAATAGTGCTAATTGGTGTACCTACTATCTTTCAGATGGAAATACAGGAGTATTAGGTAAATTTTATATCGTAATTAAATTTTAACCTCAAATCTGGAATGGCTGTTTTCTCAACGTGAAGCAAATAATGTTAAAAAACATTAGGTAGTAAATAACACGATGTTAATGGTGTACAACGGCTGCATCTTAAAATTATTCGCTTATTTCGACATTTTTTCCTATCCAATTTTCACTCCAAACATTTGATTATGGAATTGAATCAGATATCATTTACTGGTTTGCTACACGTGTTTATGATAAAAGTAAAATTTCACTCACATGGAACACTGCCCTTACTAAAGTATTAAATGGAATTTTAAACATCTATAGTATTCAGACACTATTTGATATTCCTAAAGAATAATAAATAATATCATTATCTTTGTACAATTTCATTCCATTGCAATTTGGAGCTTTTTATTTCATTTATTTGCCTGTCGCAAAGTGATCCCAACAGAAGTTTGTAGCCTTCGGTATTCATAGTTAAGGAACTGGTAAGACATAGGCGTGCCTTTGGGTCAGATTTACAGAACACATTGAAGAAACAAAATTGAAGCACTTTATTCTCAAGCACATTTTATGAAACGATTGTAATTTTTATGTGGAAAAATTTGTATATTTATTTGGTTGAGTAAAATTTATACATCAGCAAATATATAAGAACAAATTTCGTGACAAAAATAATTGTTATTAATTTTCAGACTGTGAGCAAGAAGAAAACATGGCTGCGGTGCCACAAGCCGCATTTGCTGCGAAAAAAATCAGACAAAACGAAGAAAAGCTGAAAACATTTCCTCGTAAGTTTTCAACTGATCTCTATCTTACGTATTTACTCCTTAGAATATTGAGGTGATAAATAAAATACTTCCTTTTTTCAGGTAAAACTGATCCAACGAATTACAGTAGCTTATACATGAATAGTATTTGGGGTCAATACAACCGATATTCGGTTCATAATTTGAAAAAAATAATGGATGAAACGCTGTTTATTGCGAGTTTCAAAAATCCACTCGAGTAAGTATATATCCAAACAAGTTCCAGAGTAGCTAAACAGATCTTGCAATCATGTAGCAACAATAATAATAATAATCTTCATTGTCATTTGACCTTGTTTACAAGATATTGACATCCTCACATAAAACTACAATTCAAAGAAATAATCAGATATAAATTCAAAGTTAGATTTTGAAAAATTTATTTTTGAATGCTTTATGGTGATAATAATAAGCATAGCAAGACGTTATTTGTCGTGGAATTTTCAACTCCTGACGAGACGAATATCGTCCTTTAAAGAGAAGGAAAAACGGATAAAATATCGATATTTTGTTTTCGAACACAGACTCTGTGAAAGCTATTTCCCGGTTTTTTTGGCCGTGGTCTGCAGGTTTTTATGACGGGCGTTTCGTCTACTTCTGCTGTAGACATTATCAAAGGCAATGTAGTAAAGGTGTCCGAGATGGTACTCCCGTTGTTCCGACTCGGACACACCGACATATCGGCTGTAGCCAAGCATGCTCTCATCACATTATCTTATTCAAAGATACAGTAATACTCGATAAAACTTAAATTTACTATCCAAGAGTATATAGAAAGGCAATGGAAATTCAAAAATACAGGGATAATTTCAATAGAAAATAAGAACAATATAAAACCAGTCAAATGCTAACATCTTAGTAAATGCTTCGTAACAACGGAAGCACCATCTAGGGTACAACGACCGTTTGCTCAGGGCTCAGGCACTAATAGCAATGGCATGCTAGTGATTATACATCTCATTTTGAATCGAAATAATAAAGATAAAGAGAAAAATATCTATTCAAAGTCGTTAATGTCTCAATCTCTGAAAGAATAATGGTTATTTTTGTATGAAAGGCTTGAATTGAATAAGATTTGATACAGGAAAAGATTAGAATGGACACAAGTATAACAAATATACATTCCTGTAATGATAAATCAGATGAATCATTTGGAATTGAAGCAGAATAGAGGTTGAGCTAGCCTTATCAGAGCTAGTACTCCATACCATTTTCTTGTATTCGATCAACATGTTTTTTTACCATTCTAGGTAATATTACATGTTCATCTAAAATTTAATTTGTCCTTAAAAGCTTCACTACTAATTTATTGGTATTCAGAAGATTCTGTTTGCTTTTTGTATTTACGAGCTAACCTCGGGAGGTCTTCTGATAGAAAAGGAACATTACTTTTTGGAAGACAAGTTGAAAAGTTTTGTTGGTGTTAAGATATTATTTATGAGGTTGTCAGTGATTCATTTACATATGCAGTCTCTTTCATTTTGTAGATTTGTTAACAACATCCTGTGGGTATAACGCCTAGATATATAACAAAATTCTACGTTCCACTTTCTTATCATTGGACATACATTATTAATGATTGAGTTGATTACTTACCTGATCAGTTAGTACCAATTATTTAATTATGCTGACTTCAAAAATTCACTTACGATCTCTTTTTGTTCAAGGAAAACCGCTGTTATCCCGGTTCCCGAAAAACCTGTATTTAGTACTGACATTGGACCGTCCATCCATTTTTCTGCTCAAACTATTTATAATTGAAAAATCATGAGGCTGTTATGTTAGAATAGAATGGTAGAGTGTCTGTGAAATAATCTATGTAATAAGTATACTACTAATCTGTGCAATTATTTTATATATATAAATGATATTCAATTGTTATATTTTTTATTTGGAATAGAAATATATGTATGATTCTGTAGGTAGCATCAATAGTATGAAAAAACTGGTAATGAAAGTCTCCACAATTAGGTTATTTATTTAATGGGCCTTTAGGTGGTTTAAATGGCATAAGTTTTCCTCATCCTTGAGCTTTACGTGAGAGATCACTGGAAAAATCGTCAAAGTATTGATGAAATTAGTGAGTGAGAATGAAGTGGAGAATTAGTTTTTTACTCATAAAACATTCAGGAAGAGGACTCCCTTGGGAACGCCTGTCAAAATACCGGCAACGTTAGTCTTAACGTTTCTTTGGCATTCGTGATTCTGGTTATTTATCGTTATTAGTTTGCAGCAAAAAACTACTGTAATGTCCAGAGGAGTATTAGGTCGAGTGGAAAAGTGAGAAGTATAGATGCGAGACTTGTTGTCTACAGACAATTCCGTTACTGAGTACATATAAACAAATATATTACATGGCAGTAGCGACCTTAACCATTGCGAGGCTCGGGAATCTATACAAGGCACTTATTAGCTATTGTGACAATTATGTAATCGGAAATAGATTTCATGATAATTGATAATATATGAAACATATAAATAATTTTTGAGGTTCAAAATACTATATTCTGGAAAAATAAGAAGCACAAAGACAACAAATATTTGTTGAATACACATCATTCCAACAATTACAACCAAGTGAGCCTAATTTCACCATGTTCAGGTTCACTAAATACTCGAAGAAATTTTCATGTTGACAGTAATCACCGGTAGGTTTTCTGAAAAGATTCATAGATCCTATTAGTTGTGTGTCCTTTCTGTGAGGTATTCTGTTCTGAAAAATTAAGATAAGTATTTGTATAATACTCATTTTAATTTTTCAACTGGTCACTTGAAGTCCGTTTTTTCGCGATATTTTTTTGGAGATGAAAATAAACAATTTGTACATTTTCAACAGGCATTTTTATTTGAACACCTAACTGAAAGAAAAAGCTCTCTCGAAACCACTGTTAGTAACCTGTAAAATAGGAGTGACAAGCAGTGATGCCAACTGCTTAAAATCTTTTCCCCTAAGCCTATTTTAAAACCCCCTAAATTCAAACCAAGATACCCCAAATTTTTTAGTAAATGAAAAATCTAATTGAATATTCAAAGTTGCTATAACATTTAACAAGTTAATAGATTAACTTACCTTCATATTCTTAGTACAACGAAGTTTTAAATAAAAAGGTTATTGAAAAATGTTACATAAGATTTTCAAAACATGGTAACTTTTTTATTGCCTTTATGTGAGTACGTCAGTTTACACATCAACTAATAAATAAAAAATTAATACATCAATGGAACACACATATATGAGCGTTAATACTTATACTATATTAATTCCCATTTCATTAATAATTTCGAAAAACTCATCAGCTTCCTGTTCTTCATTTGTGTCGATATCAGTTATTCATTTTCTCCCTAAAAAAAAATCCCCTTTTTCAAATTATATCCCCTTAATTTAAGGGGGAAACCCCCCAAGTTGGCATCACTGGTGACAAGTTATTGTTCTGTAATACACGTCAAGATGTGGACTGCCGGCAATAAACAGTTGCTTGATTAAGTAAAGTTGTTTTAATTGACCTTCTCCCAAAATTCCTATAAAACATGGCGCAGTCGGTAAGATACACTGCTCTTTTATGTGAATATTTAATTCCACGAAAGAAAAATACTTTTGAAACAACTACTTTTATTGGAATATAAAATTATACGAAAACACTTTTTTATCTTGAAACTATTTGCCTTTTTTCTTTTTTGGTAATTCCCACATTTTTTTGTATGAAGATGGAGAACTAGAAAGCCAAACCCTTTCTTTCCCAAAAATTGATCTCTTTCAAGAATATACCCATTTCAATTGAAGTATAAACATCAAATATAAGCAAATTCTTTCATACATACATTTTTGGAATAACACGAAATGTGGGGTATGTTTTCGAATTTTCCCAAATTCGTCTCTGGCATAAATGCAACTGAAATATTTCAAGAAAAAAACTGACTGCAACTGTCCCTTTTACGGGTTCTTCAATTCAAATTGATTTTTCTACTGGTCTTTTAGTTAGGTCTCAAGTCAGGAAACGTGAAATGATACAAATTATTGTGTGTTCGTTTTATTATTTATTCATAATTCATAATAATCATTACAATAAAAAAAAACAATAAAGCTTCAGATGGTTCACTAAAATCCAAATGGGTATACACAGTGGTACATGAAAATAACATTCACTAAAATTCTCATCTCAACACATTCGATTATATCCAACTCTACCTACAACAAAGCCATACAAAATCTCCAAAGGACCCGCATCTTCAATAAATTTCCCTTATCTAGGATTCGAAAATATTCATCTTCAATTTCAAACAGACTATGCTTCAAAATACTTGGTTGTTGCAAGATGGACAGTTTAGATGGTTACAAAGTATCAAAAACACAGCTGGTTTTTAGTTATTTGCATCGATCAATTTTTTGCAAGCATTCTTCATTCTTTCTCAGCTCAAAATTATCAACACCAAAATATTTAGTTTCTTATTAAAAAGAGATCAACTATTTCAACTGTTGAAAAATTTTGGGTTACGAATAAGTGAATTCAACAAATTTTTTGGTAGAATACCTCCCAAAATGACTATCATTTTCCACATATCACACCTTAATTTACTCTTGTACTTTATTTCAGAATCCTGCATATTGTTTTCATTAAAATTTTATCTTTTAAATACAAAATTTCCTACTTTCCTTAATTAATATTTGATAAAAAGTTTTCAACTTGCTGAGTCAAAATACAAATAATCCTGAGTTAATTAATTCTTGACTAACAGTCAAAACTATTTTTTCAAAGTCAATTTTGACTAAATATCTGCATCTGGTGAATGAAAGACTTGTTTTTTTTCCCATTATTTTCAATAAATCAAATTTCTGACTATACATTTGTGTGAAATAAGATCCAAATATTGGAATCAATCAATTTCTATTCAATTCAGAATTTAAATACAATATTTCATCACTTTTCAAGTACCTATATATCAAAAACTGGTTTTTGGTTTGACGTTTCTTCTGCTATTGCGGTAGACGATGTGACAACGCTCGCAGTGCACGAGTTGTTATTCCCGTCTACTACCGCAGTAGTAGACGAAACGTCAAGCACAAAAACCTGCAGACGACAGCCAAAAATCCGAAAAATAGCTTTCACACAGTTGTTCTTTTATACTTCTGTATATTTTGAGAAATTAATCAACTTATCTTCAATATTGAATTATTTCAAAACGACAATAATACATGATGTTAAAACTGATCTTTTTTTTTAAGAAAAAAGTCTTATTATATATTACGATCCACTCATTCAATGCAGAGCATTAAATCTAGTCGGAAGCTATCTGTAAACTTTTCTCACTCCCGACTTTCTGATAACTTTCAACCATCTAAAACCCCACCAACGACAACAATAACATCAAAAAATTGCCTACTCAACCTCACAACAACATTTTAAAACATCCCTAAAATGTGTATCAACACGTAATCCAATAGATAAAAACGAAAAAATTGTATCGCTATTTCAGTTACACCTATCAAAAAAAATCCTCCCAGAAAACGTAGCAAGCGAGACGATGCCAATACACATCGAATGCCGCTCTAAAATTAGAAAAATCAATATAGTCCAATCATGTGCGATGATATGTTCAACAAGGATAATACGGTAAAAATGTTACTATCAATTACCCTAACTAGAGGCAGGGCGTCTGCAAAATCTGACTAATTTTCATGGTTACAATTTTCTCTCTCAAACGAATCAAGCAAGGTTTAATTTGCTTGCGAAATGCAAGGGTTCACCTTCAAAAAAGGCATATCGTTTCAAAATTAGTAGTAATGCAAGGCAGGTTCTGGTACAGTTAGCACCATCAAGTTAACCCCATCTAAGACAATTGATAATCAATGTTCAAATACTTCGTGACCACTTTATCTCTAGTGAACCCAACACTTCTCAGCATCAAATGACAGCAATTAGGAAGTGTTTCGATTTCAAACGCAACATTAAAATTTTTTGTGCAGACACCCTGTACGTCTCTCCTGCGTATGGCGACCAGTGATTCAGTAGCCCGCAGAAGGACGTGAACTTCAAATTTTCCAACAAACCTACTGCTGCATGAGTAAAGACAAAATTTTGCTACTTCAGTCTATTTCGTAAAAAACTGTGAGACAAAAATGCACTTTCTCGTAACTATTGGCTAAAATAAACACAGAAGAGGCCTTCACTTTTCAATAACTTAGATTACCTACACTAGAAATGATAGTGGGGGCGTGGGAAAAACAGCTGGGCGACAAACGAAACAGGAACAGTTGAAAATTAAGCATAAGCTTTCGAGGCGTCGCAGCCGATTTTTACCCACCCCTTATACGATATTACTTCTACCTACAAGAGAAAAGCCATTAATCTGTGAATATTATTCGTTAAATATTACAACAATAAATATAAAACGTCTACTTATAAGATATTGACTGTATATTTACAAAAAAAAAAGAAAATTCTGCTACAATTATATAAAACAATAAAGTATGTACAATATTTACAAAAACTAGCTGCACTCCATTCACTTTTGTCCACGGGTAGGAAGGGTGGGTTTATTTACTTCACCGTCTCTTAAAAAAATATTCAACAATATATATATTTACAAATTCACATTAAATGTATTGAGTGATAAATGTTTTTTTTCCAGTACATTCTATTTCTCACTTTTCTGAACTCAAAATATCAATTATATCACCCCTTTGAACCAGAAATACGAGTTTGTCTTTCAGTATGACTTCTAACATTTTCAAAAGCATTCACAAACACTCTTCCATTAGCTAATAAGCATTCAAGTCTAATTATCTCTCTTTCTCTATATCTTTCTCTCAAAGCCTCCTATCATGCTGAAAGTCCAACTTGCATTAACGATTTATCTGAAGTTTGATAAAATTGACAATAAATTCACAAGACTCCTTTCAAAATTCAGAAATATGAAAAAATTGAGATGCAGGCAAGACAAATTTAAAACACATTAGCTGCCATTTTCTTAAGCTGATTCGGTTATTTTCATCAACATTTTTTGTATTAGCATGATTCAACATTTTGAACAGCATGAATTTCCAGATTCTATGAGTAAAATATATAAACTTCTTTTTCAAATTAGTAGTTATACAACATTGCTTCTAGGCTACTTAGCGCAACTAAGTTAATTCCAACCTTTAAAAACTTATTATCAACGTCCAAGTACTGCATGACCACTTTCGAGTAAACTCACCATTATTTTTCAGCGCTAGGATGGCAACCAACGTGTAAAAATTATTCATCACTCAGTACGTAAAATAGGAAGTTTTTTAGCTTTACACCTTTCTTAAAGCCAAGAGTCTCATCGACTGCTAGTGAAAAAACCCAGAGAACATTTCATATTTCCGGTCACGGTCTTACAACCTAAATCCACTGAATTAATGCTTAACCTTAGCGTTACTCAGCAAAGTTTGACTGCTGCTCTGCTTCAAGCCTTCGCTTTTCATAAAGTCTATCTCGGCGTAGATGAACGTGGATTCGGGAACAATCGGGTCGATGCTCGACCTCGGACTGCAGCTCTCTTCCTCCTCCTGAGCCTGCGCGAGGTCCAAGCTCGCGTAATGTAGTTTTTCCGTCTGGTTGTCGACCTGCACGCGGTCAGAATTGACGGACTCCGGTCGCGAACTGACCAGCGTCGACGAACTCGACCACAATTCGCTCGACGTTGAATTGGGTCGCGAAGTGGCAGCCTTGGCAGCGTCCAAGGGACGAGCTGGGGTGGCGACGGCAGGTTTGTCGCCGTCGACAGAGTTTGGGCGGGATATTTTTGCCGCAGGGGAGACGCATTCGCTAGAAGAGCGGGGTTCTGAGGTTTCGGGCGCCGAGGATGACTTGTTGGTCGAGGGTTTTTCTGTAACAAAAAAAAATTAGATTATTTCTCATGGACCCGCTCACCCACTAACGGGAGTGAAAGTTGTAAATGAAAAAATGCTCACCCATTTCCACGACAGCTCCACCGCTCATCGACAGGGTCTTGGGGTCCTCCTTGATGGGCCGAAAACACATCGACTGACTTTCCTTGATGCCTATCATAGACAAGTGTCCGATCAAAGGCGAAGTGCCAGATTCATAACTTCCCGAAACCGGTCTGAGCGGGGACACTTTAGACGGCTCGGAAGTCCCCGGCTGCATCATTGCGTAATCGCTCATGGGATCGTCGACAACGGTTCTATCGACAGCCGGCGCATAGTTAACATAGTCCGAGGGATTGTTCTCTTTGCCATTCTTCCTGATCTCGAAATCCATGGGAGCATAGTCATTGCTGGAGGAGTTAGTTTTGTTGTTGTTCTTGTAAAAGGCGTTCAATAGGGTGGCCGGAAATTTAAGAGCGGAAGAAGTCTCAATTTTCGCCGGTTTCATCGGAGAACTGGGGCTGTTCAAGCTCATGGGAAAAATGGTACTAGAGCTACTCGGAGTGGTGAGGCTAGAGCTTGAGCTGTCTCTAGAGTCCTTTCTAGCTCTTTGCCTGGGAAGGCTCGAGTACGGGGTCGACCAAGTAGACAATGGTAAGTGCATCTTTGGGGACGAGCCTCCGGAAGATTTCCTCGATAGCAAAGAGGAGATGGGACTCGAAGAATTTTTCGTAACTTGCGAAGAGGTAGTGGGATGAATGGATATCGGCTGGGACATCGCCTTTTCCTTCTTGACTGGCTTCTTTTTCGGTCCGATCGACATGTTGAGATAGTCTTCGTTCCCACCGGCGTTGATGTGGTTGCTGTCCAAGCTGCTCTGCCTCTGGTGCTTCTTGCCGAGTGTCATCTCTACATACCCATCGGGAGTCTTCGCTTGGTCCTGCTGGAAAAAGCTCAGCGGCATATAGTCGCTGTTCTTCGGCGAGGAGGCGGATGAGGAGCTCCGATCCAATCTCCTCGACTGCTGGTTAGCGGTCATGTCTAGGTAATCAGCATTCACTGCCGGCGATGTGGCAGTCTTCACCTTGTTTTTCCTGTGGTCCATGTCGACGTAGTTGTTGTTCATCGGTAGCCGGTACTGGCGGTTGATGTCGACGAATGAAGTGTACTCTGTGGTCTTAGGAGATCCTCCGCTCATGTCCATGTACGGCGCCGACCCGGACATGTCCATGTATGGCGAAGGGTCCGTTCTTCTGGGAATGATCTCCACGCCGGGCTTCATCTCCACGTATCCGCTCGGCGTCTTGGTGGAGTTGTTGTTGAGCGCGTTGTTGGATCCTTTCGAGAAGTCCATCTCCATCAAGTTATCCATAGGATCGATCGAGCTGTGGCTTCTCGAGTTCGAGAGAAGCGGCGCGCTGATCGACTTGCCGCCCGCGTGCTGGTGATGCTGCAGCAACCTACTGGGGCCCTTTTTCGTCTTCGATCCCATACTGAAGGACCTAACCCGAGGGTCTTCTGGGGTTCCGGCCAGTCCGACGTGACGCCTGTCGCGGTTTTCTTCGGGGCGGGATCCCACGGAGTAAGCTCTGGCTGGCCTGGTGTCATCGTTTTCAGTCACGAAGTAGGAGGACACCTTGTCGAGGGGGTAGTCGGAGAAGCGAATGTCGGTGGAGGGGGTTCCGGAAACGACGCTGCTGACACTAACAGACGGCGAGTGAGTGTTGAGGCGACTTCGGGGCGACATATCGACGTAGCCATCGTCGGAACTAGGGGGCGCCATGGGAACGTAGCTTCCATACATGCCTGAAGAAGAACGACCGTTAATATTACAGCACCATTCAGAGCGAAACGAAATAATAGCGAGTTACACGATATTTGAAAAGATAGAACTGCTGCAATCAGAGGGTAATATGGGATCACTTCAAGTCAAATTCATTAATATCCAAAAAAAAGGGCTCAGTGAAATTGACAGCAGAGCATATCTTGAAATAGAATGGTGATCACCAAATGAGATGGGGCGAAATAAAAATGCTGAGGCGAGAAATTGAAAACTGAAATATGATCCTACACTAAATTCTCGGAAAACATCCTGTAGTTTAGACTATAGACATATTTCAAAGTATTACAATACATATACTAATTGATACTCGCAAATTGTAATTTTCAATACAGTTGGTGAATTATTCATTTAAATGACTTGCTCAAATGGAAATGTTTTAAAGTATCCAATTAGAAATAGAAAAGGGCAATCACATGCCAATGTTCATAAGCAGTTTCATGAGTTTCATTCAGTTTAATTCGTTATTCAGAGCATCCATTTAGATAATGTATGCATGAAAGTTTCTTGTCATATTTTTTGGTAAAACAAGAAAACAATTCCATTTCGAATCCAGTAAAAACGGATATATGAACTTGTACAATGATTCTAATGCTTTGATCTCAAGGAAAATAAATGTACTTCGAACTTAGGCCAGCAATATCAAGAGAACTCTGATAATGGAGTTGAAACAATATTTTTACTTTTTTATTATATGCACGAAAATATTTCAAAAATGGTTAACACATAGTAAGGCGTTTTGACATCTGCAATGATTTTGAAAAATGTCACTTTGTATGCCGAATTCAGAAAAAATAATTTTTCATGTTCGCATCTATCCCTGAAAATCGCCAACTAAATATTTTTTATCAAAACCTCAAGATTTCGAGAACTATCATAAAGATAATGGTTGTTACTGATAAAACTGATAAAAGCTTACAAAAAAAGAATAAGAATTACTAAATGCTGATATTCATTCATTCATTCCTGATTCAAACATTTCCCCAATTTATTATTCAATTAATTTGTAATGGGTCACACTACATCGATTTTCATACTCCCAACTCTTCTGAATCAATGAAAATAATAGATTTTGATAATGCCAAAATGACATCTTTTACGGAAAGAAAATTTTTGGCTTTATACTACTCCATCTTGATACAAAAAAAGGGATGAGGGAATCTTCCAAAGAAAGGAAGGAAGTAATCAATTTGAAAAAAGTAACTCTATACATGGATGTGTAGAACATGCAAAGAAGTAACTTTCAGACACAAACTGAAAGAAAGAGGATGAAACAGCTACTTTCATATAAACATTGAATTACACGAAAGAAAAAAAATTCTTTCGAAACAAATACTTCTATATGAACACTGAATTATACAGAAGATACTTTTCTCTACTCAGTTTGTATTTCAAACATTCGTTGTGGAATAAAAATCAGATATCATTCACACGAGTTCTACTTTGAATGAATGGTAATAAATTGCACTTGCATGGAACACTGTCACCCTCACTGGTATACACCGATGTTTCGCCTTAAGACACTTGCCCCAAGGCTTTTCAGTACCAAATTGGATAACATTATAGAAAATACACACACTTCATTCATGAATTACGATTTTGAATGTCACGGAATAAGCTTGATCTGCTTATGTCATCGATGACATCGTAATGACATTCATTCACCTATTTGATTTAATCCCAGCTATGAGGAATCTTATTTGAATTAATATTAATTTTACGTAATATAAATACTAGTTGAACATGCACCCACATTCGACATAAATCTTTTCATTTCAACGTAACAATAACTTTCCCAAGCTTATTAATATCTGTCTTGAAGTGTCAGATTATTAATTATGTACCATTGTTGAGGTGTCAAATTTTCTCACCACGTTTTTGATATATTTACTAACGTTTTTTGACAAAATTCCTCTACTAGGAAAAATGTTCTCCAATAAATAAAGCACTAAGGAGATTACCAATCTCTCACGAATGTCACTAAGATTAAAAGCATGAGCCATTAGGCAAGTAGCCATTGGCAAGCAATTTGGATGAAATTATTCAAGAATAATACCGAAAAAACTCCTTCAAAATGGTTCACTAAGAATAAAAATGTGTGCCAGCAGATGTAAATTTTAGGGTAGTTTCTACAAAAAATACTTCCATCATTGGACAGTCCTTCAGCCTATTTCAATTCAAGTTCCCGAATCCCATTTTTCAATTTGACTATATATCATATTATGGACTGAGTAACCTTTCAATAAAAGTATTTATTATAATCATTATTATTATGTATACAACTTTGTTGAAATCAATATTTTCCAGGATAAGCTGAATTTTGAATTGTCCATCAAGTTTGAAGCTGTATTTCAAAGGTGCGAAACTGTATATACAAAATCATAGCAGAAACTCAACTGAGAGTATTTCCTCAATTATGAATAATATGTCATCAGAAACATTTCTCCAGTGTTACTATTTTCATTTGGGTTTGAAGGCCGTCATAGTTTGCAGGAGGACTTTCTTTCAGTTTGTGTCTGAAAGTTACTTCTTTGTATGATCTACACATCCATGTATAGAATTACTTATTTTCAAATTGATTACTTCCTTCCTTTCTTTGGAAGATTCTCTCATCCATTTTTTTGTATCAGACGGAGTAGTAGAAAGCCAAAAACTTTCTTTCCCAAAAATTAATCACTCCTAAAAATATAACCCTTTCAATTCAAATTGACAATGTGTTTCTGATATGACCAAAATATAATTAAATTGTTAGGTAACCGCTATCATATGTTCTGGTTAGTACCATTTAGAAGGTAGTATTTGATTCGTCCATTTTAATTGATGAGATATAAAAATCCTACTTGTCAAGTGTTACATTTTCTGTCAAATAATTGACAATGTGTTTCTGATATGACCAAAATATAATTAAATTGTTAGGTAACCGCTATCATATGTTCTGGTTAGTACCATTTAGAAGGTAGTTCATTTAGAAGGTATTATTTGATTCGTCCATTTTAATTGATGAGATATAAAAATCCTTCTGTCAAGTGTCACATTTTCTGTCAAATAATTGGCAGTGTTTCTGATATGACCAAAATATAATTAAATTGTTGCGTAACCCCTATCAGATGTTCTGGTTAGTACCATTTAGAAGGTAGTTCATTTAGAAGGTAGTATTTGATTCGTCATTTTAATTGATGAGATATAAAAATCCTTGTCAAATGTCAAATTTTTGTCAAATAATTGACAATGTGTTTCTGATATGACCAAAATACAATTAAATTGTTAGGTAACCGCTATCATATGTTCTGGTTAGTACCATTTAGAAGGTAGTATTTGATTCGTCCATTTTAATTGATGAGATATAAAAATCCTACTTGTCAAGTGTTACATTTTCTGTCAAATAATTGACAATGTGTTTCTGATATGACCAAAATATAATTAAATTGTTAGGTAACCGCTATCATATGTTCTGGTTAGTACCATTTAGAAGGTAGTTCATTTAGAAGGCAGTATTTGATTCGTCCATTTTAATTGATGAGATATAAAAATCCTTCTGTCAAGTGTCACATTTTCTGTCAAATAATTGACAATGTGTTTCTGATATGACCAAAATATAATTAAATTGTTGCGTAACCCCTATCAGATGTTCTGGTTAGCACCATTTAGAAGGTAGTTCATTTAGAAGGTAGTATTTGATTCGTCATTTTAATTGATAAGATATATAAATCCTTCTTGTCAAACGTCAAATTTTAGTCAAATAATTGACAATATGTTTCTGATATGACCAAAATATAATTAAATTGTTAGGTAACCGCTATCATATGTTTTGGTTAGTACCATTTAGAAGGTAGTCCACTTAGAAGGTAGTATTTGATTCATTCGTCCATTTTAATTGATGAGATATAAAAATCCTACTTGTCAAGTGTCACATTTTTCATCAAATAATTGACAGTTTCTGATATAACCAAAAAATAAATAAACTGTTAAGTAACCGCTATCATATGATCTGGTTAGCACCATTTAGAAAGTTGTTACTTTTAGGACATATTGTTAGTGCGTCAATATAGGCAGACAGTTGAAAACTACATTGACAGATGAAATACGACGTGTCCAGTGACGAACACCTAATGAACTGAAGAGGGAAAAGTCACCAAAACTTACCGCAAGGACTCTCCGGGCAATCCTCCTCAGCAATGGCCTCGTCTGGAGTCAATGGGCCGCTGTACCTCATGGTTTCGGGGCATTCGTTCCCCATGCACATGTCGGTTTCATCTGTCAGGCTGTAAGACGATCCCATGGAATCTGTGGAGCAGCCCACGCTGGGAGGGCTGAGGGGGCTCCCGCTTGGTGGGCTGTGGGATATGTCTTGACCGTGGGAACGGTGGGGGGTTAGATAGGGTCTGCAAGCCGCCGGAATGACGTGGGGACCTTCGCTGGTGGTCCTCGGACGCGAAGGCATGCTGTCGCAGCGTTCTCGACCTGCAAGACAGAAGTGAGGTTAGGAAGATATGTTTTGTTAATGTATGGACACAAATGGAGGATGAAGGGGATGGAGGTGTGTATTTTGATGTGAAATAATAAGTGAAAGATGATTCAAACATAAAGAAAAATATATTGATGGGAGAATTCACATTTACAATTGTAATTCACAAATGAAACTGTAAATTACCAGGTATGATTGTAAATTTACAGTTACAATTGTAAATTGATAAATTCTCACTATAAATTTAGAATAACAACTAATAGAACTTATGTTGCAAATTCTTACTTTAACTATAACAGTAGAAATGATGCCAAAAATTATAGATTTTTGTGGCATTTCTATGCTTTCGTACTTAAGCTGTTAGTTTAGAATGTTTGAGGTTATTTTTCAATTTTTTGACACTTCTCCTTTTTTATATTTACTCTACTATTACGTCAGTGCCATTTTACAAAGGTGTTTCACAAAAGAAAGCTGTAGATTTTATTTGTGAAATCATTCATCCTTCTGAATTTCATACAAAATATAAAATTAAATTTGTGAGATAGTGTTTGTCTACCACGATTTCCATTTGGTTAGAGTTTTTTGCACGTTTGAGGTATTTTTAAAATGTTTTAGCTCATTTCCCCCAGTTTGTGACTCGAGTATTGTTCTAATAGGATTTCTAATCTTATGCTTTTGTAAACTGTTGATGTAATATGTATCTATTGTTAATAAAATATACAACCTGCAAACCCATCTGTCATAATCTTATCTTTGGTATGAACACCATATTAAGTATTCTACAAAAAAAAAAGTTTAAGTTGAGGCATGAAAAAATGTGCAATATATATTTGAGTACATCAACTTGAATTTAATTATCATGCTCACATTGCTGTCTGTAAAATTACAGAGATGAATATTTGTTAAGATAAGCATTACATTCAACTTGTGAAAATTAAAGGGCGATTTGACGTTTGACGTGTTTTGTTTTTCATTGATACTTGTAAGCAAAATGATAAACTTTATCTTTTTCAAGTTTCAAGAAACGAGAACAATTTTTCATCAGCCGAAATATATAACGATCCTTATAGTTCAAATTGTGTTTATAGAGGGCGCAGAAATCTGTTTGTTTCACCAATAGTAAACAACCATGCAAAAATTGTGAGAAATATATAACGATCCTTATAGTTCGAATTGTGTTTATAGAGGGCACAGGAATCTGTTTGACCAATAGTAAAAAACCACGAAAAAATTGTGTGGTACCCTGTATATTCTCTTTTGGGATGGTAATAGAGATAATATAACAGAGTAGAAAACATGCATCCAAATTATGGATTGTTCTTTACTCAAGTTTATAGAGAATTTCAATTCGGTCAAAATGGTCAATCGAGATTCATTTGCATATAATTAAATTTGAAAAGTACTTAATGAACTAAGCGATTTCAACGTTACACAATGACCTCAAACTATAAAGTGAATACACACATATCAATCAGAACACGAACATAATACTCAATTTGCAAAAACCCGATCACACAATTTCTTCTACTTTTTTGAAATGTATAACTATAGATATATTTTTTCAGACGAAAGTACAGAATTGAAAGCATCTAACATTCACCTAAGACCTAGAAGAGGTTTATAAAAAAATGTAAACCAGAAAAATAATTTCAATAGAACGTTACAAGGCACAATTTTAGGTCCATTTTATGTTTATGTTCATGAATAACCAAATCTTAAATTGCAAGTTGAATATTCAAGAAGCAAGACTAGGAACATATTTATAAATCAGCAAATTCATCAATTAATTGGTTAAAAAACAATCCTGAAGTAGTTTCTTTACAATATCAGTCTTGAAACTCATTTTTCTTGCAGGTGAGTTAGGAAAAAATTGTGAGGTTAGGTTTTCCACAAACTGCCTCACAAAAAGCAGGTTCAGATACAAATTATCTGTCAAAGGTTGAAAGGGAATGTCAAAAGCAATTTTTTGGAAATCTATCGTCCTCAACGTGACTAATTTTTCTCAGTACTCAGTTCAATCAAAAAATAATAATTTCAAACTAGTGTCTTCGCATTGCAGTCTCGGGTAAACTCTTAGACACACTGAAAAACGAATAGTGCGCAACGAAGCCCCCCAAGGTTCCGTCCTGGGGCCCCTGCCTTTCAGCATCTACCGTCCAATTTTCATCAAATACCGAGAAAAATTAGACAGCCAATCTAGCGTGCGTCGCAAACACCACAACAATCGCACATCAACAGTGATATACGCAGACGCAGATAGCGAATGAGCAAGAGAATACATACACTTTGCAGATTGGTTGGATCGCTTATTGACATTGGTGGTGTTGTTGGTGGTGGCTCGTGAAGAAGGGTGTGTGGGGAAGTAATCTGTTGTGGGGGGTGCGTATGTGGTGGTCGGGTTTTCGGTGAGAGGCAGTGATTGAGTGCGTTGATGGCTGATTGTGGTCCCCACGCAGGGCGTGGCGCCGACTGCTACGACAAAAAAATCATATTCACCGATAGGGATGACGATATCGAGCTAAGCAATGGCACCAACAGATTTTTAATTGAATCCCTGAGTAAATCTGTGCGTTCCTTGAAACCTCTGAATCGTAAAATAAATGATAATACGTTCGATAGTGTCTACATGGAGCTATCAGCCTCATACAAGACATATATTGGTATTCAATTTTGCCCTTGGTTGGGGTGTTTTTTTTTAAAATTTGACGTTACAGTGAATCATCAGTGTTAAGTGTCGGGATAAATATTTGATGACTTGATTCTTGAATAGAAAATTTGATAACTGTATTCAGAGTTTTCAGAAGGGCACAAACTTACTTTAAAAATATTTGAGTGACCAAGTTTTGGCACCACAGAATGAATAAAGCACATAGGGCTGAAAATTTAGTGGAAGAGGGTCTGTTTTTGTTCAGTGAAGCAAAGAAACGTTTCGTGAAATAAGGAAGAAAAAAACATAACATTCTTAGGATTTTTTACATTCACATATTATTCAAAGAAGATAAAGGATTAGATTTTTCTGATCTATTCAGGGTGTTAATTGAGTATGTACCACAAATTTAACAGACGATTCTTTAGGTAGTTTTAAGTTGCAGAGAACAAACACTTCAGTTCTGTCAAACTGATTCAATACTTGGAGACTCTGAAGTTGTGAAAATATCTAACTTCTGCTTTCAAGTCTAATGGGCTGAAGGATTCATCATGGTCTCTAATGAAGATGTCTTCAGAATCCTTATTTGTCATATAAAAATTATGGGAATGTTTCACTGAAATCTTTCAATTGACTCGGCCCCCACTAACAACACGTTCAATAAGGAAAAATAATTGATGAAATTAACGTTTTTGATTAAGATATCTATCTGAAAAACAAGTTGGTCGATACGTTTTGCAGCCAAAGAAGAGATTTCAAAATGATGTAGATGAAAGGTTAGTAGAAAGAACTGCTAGAGAGAAATAGAGAGAGGTAGATGAAATATGGGTGCAGATATATCAAATCGGGTTACCATATAGTTCTACGATGTGTAGAGAAGAGAACGCAGAGATGAAGACAAACGAATTGAAAAATGAACATAACAAAAATCTTACTTGTGCATTCTCATCTATAACACACAATACGACTAACATATAGTTCTTCTTGTTATTTGATTAGCACAAAATACTTACTTTGAATGAAATAAGGCGCTTTGGGCAAGCCAGACACGACTTGTTTTCTGTACGCGTTGTTAGGTTTAGAGCACTCTGTTGCAGAAGAAGACCTTATCCTCATCTCATCATGTTTATTGTTAGTTGACATTGCACTGAAAAAAAAAGATGAATTTCCTCAATACAAGTCGAAAAAAAATCGAAATAATAATAATATGCTTTATTGTCCAAAGAACATCAGGTCTCATGGACAAAGCTGCAAATTTTTTTCGGTCGCCATACAAGTAAATATACAGTGTGACCCATTTTTAATGGAAACACCCCCCTAAAATTTGAAGTTGTAAATCGATTTTAATAATTTTTTTTAAATGTCAAATACTAAAAGGTCTACCTTGGGATAAAATTTGAAATGCTTATTAAAGTTTCAGGGCATACGATATTTTTTCTTAGTCGAAAATCGGGATTTTTTATTAGCGATTTTTTTATTGAAAAAATCACTACGCCACTGGATTCAGAGTGCCTCTAAATAGGTGTGATCAAAATTTCATGAAAAAATATTCATTACTAACAAAGTTATGACAACTCAAAAATTCGAAAACTCACACAATATATAATTTCTTTTATGATTTCAACAATAAAGTGCCGCCAGATAAAAAAAAAACAAATAGCGTAAATATTTTCAATGAAAATAACGGAATTATATTCACACAATTCAACTAACAATGAAGCAAAAAATTTTAATAAACGTAACTAATAACTAATTATTGAAATGTTTCGATTCAGTGCAACAATTAATTCTAACTCATATTCTAGTAGCCTCTACTAATCCACCACGTATTTCGATACATGTGTCGTAGGGCTTATGAATGTTTCTGATTACGTTCCTTAGTTCTTGAGGGCTAATATCTGGATATAACTGTCGAATTCTTGCACAAAGTTCATTTCTATCTCTTGAGCGGTTTTTGTAAACCTTTTGTGTGAGAAGTCTCCAGAGAAAAAAGTCAAAATCTGTGAGGTCTGGAGATCTGGGTGGCCACTCTATAAACGGACTACCACGGCCTATCCATCGGTTTGGAAAATGTTCGTTAAGCCATTGCCTCACAGCTCTGGCATAATGAACTGAACACCCATCTAACTGGACAATTAAATTTGATCGTTCATTGATTGGCAGCTCGTGAATAGCATCCCAAAACTCTGTGTTTAAAAATTCTAGAAACCTCTGCGCATTAATGTTTTCCTCAAAAAAGAAAGGACCAATAATTCGTTCGTTCAATATCCCACACCAGACGTTAATTTTTTGGGAATACTGGCTTTTACAGTTTATTACCCAGTTAGGATTATCCGCTGCCCAATAGTGACAATTCTGTGATGACACAACTCCATTTGTAGTGAAAGTGGATTCGTCGGCATATAAAATATTTTTCAGTAAATTTCTATTGTTTAAATATTCCCCTTGGGCCCATAAATAATATTCCAGGCGTCTTGCTTCGTCGCCTTCTTGAAGTGTGTTTGAAAATTTTGGCTTGAAAGGTTTAATATTCTTCGCCTTGAGACATCTCCGAATAGTGTATCGTGGAATATTCAAATCTAAAGTGGCATTCTTTATACTGGCATTAGGATTATATCCGAAATAATCTAAAATGATTTGATCATTCCTGTTTCGTCTTTGTACAGGATTCCTTTTTAACATCATTTTTCATACTGTACCACTTTCATTGAATATTTTATTTATTTTATTTATCGTACCGCAGCTAATACGAGGACGATCTGGATGTCTCTCATTAAATACTCTACAAACCTCTCTAGCACTTCTAACGTCATCTCCCGAAAGGCGTACAATTTCAATTTTCTCTCTTACGCTCCATCTTGCAGCCATGACACAAAATAATTCGAAGAACTGAAAGGTGAATATTGTTGACAATAGTACACTTAAATCTTTCACAAATGTCAAACTGTAATATCATTTCCATGGCAACTAAGATTTAAAGTGAAATATTAGGTCTTAGTTTTAGTTAATTTGCGTGAAAACTTAAATGTAATTCCGTTATTTTCATTAAAAATATTTACGCTATTTGTTTTTTTTTTCATCTGGCGGCGCTTTATTGCTGAAATCATAAAAAAAATATTCTCATGGCTATAGCTGTGTGAGTTTTCGAATATTTGAGTTGTCATAACTTTGTTAATAATGAATATTTTTTCATGAAATTTTGGTCACACCTGTTTAGAGGCACTCTGAATCCAGTGGCGTAGTGATTTTTTCAATAAAAAAAATCTCTAATAAAAAATCCCGATTTTCAACTAAGAAAAAATATCGTAGTATGCCCTGAAACTTTAATAAACATTTCAAATTTTGTCCCAAGGTAGACCTTTTAGTACTTGACATTTCAAAAAAAAAATATTAAAATTGGTTTACAACTTCAAATTTTAGGGGGGTGATTCCATTAAAAATGGGTCACACTGTATATACACATACATATACGAGTACAAATCATATCAAAATACTCAAACACACACAATACATACGGATACTGAAGAGAGATAATACACAATGAAGAGACAATACCAGAAAAGTTTAAAATATCAAAAATAAAAAAAATCCCGGTCCCAGTATCGAACCTTGTGGTATACCATTTTTTAATTATTTTTCTGATGAGAAGGCGAAATAAAATGATGTTAACGTAAAATCGCCGTTGAAGGGATTCCTGTGGGAACCTAGAAACACACTTCTAGGGGACGAAAACCCACAATTTGGGAAATAGACCAACTAAACTTTAATTTTTTTCTTATTTCAAATGCCAAGCTGAACGTGCTTCAATTTCCATCACGAGTTTTAGCAAAATTGTTTTGAACGGACGTTAGATGTTAATGAGCAATAAATTGTAACAATGGTCAGCTTGACGGCTATTAAAATAAGTAACAATAACAGATTTTATTGTCCCCAGAAACAATATACTATGTGAATGAAATAGAAAGAATATGTATGAATGGTCTACGTGACAAATCATAATTGATTCTTTCATTACCTTTGCTTCGTGTTTTTGCAGAGAATACAACAAAGGGTTATGAAGTGAGGAGCATTTGTTCACACAGTAAACTATCTTAACCCATATTACAAATTTTGATGAATTTGGAGATTGATAATGAAGGGATCTCTAACTGTAACTGAGGATCAATTTCCCAAATAGAAAGTTATCAACTTTCCTCTTTAATAGTAGCATCCTTAACACATTCACCAGGAGTTTTTTCAGCGAGATTGTGTTAATCAGTGTACAAGCTTTCTTTTAAATGAATTTTTCGGTATATTAGTGAATTATAGTCTCCTCTAACACATTAGCCATAACTCTGGTTTCCTACATCTGAATCGTCAATCAATTCAACTCTGTCTTTGATTGACATTCCTTAAAAATTAACAGCATATCCACTTTCTCAAGTTTTGTTACCCTAATATCTTATTTTCAAATGAGGTCAAGACCATTTGAGCAGATAATGACCTCTTACCACAAGTTAATCTGGTACATTTTAACTTTATGATAAACATGATATCTTTCACGCAAAATTTTTGCCCGACCGAGTTATGTAACAGTTTATATTTTAATGTGTTTATGAAGGTTTTGTTTGCTTAGATGGATGTTGGTCTCTGCTTATCTTTGAGGAGCAAATTTTGTTTTGCAATACTAGATTCGATGGTTCAGTAAGTAGAGGGGATACGAGAGTTCTGGGGCGTATTCCCTAGGGGACGTAATTACGGTAGTGAATGGGAAAGAGAGGTGTGCGACGTGATCGACGCATAGAAGGATGGAATGAGCATCGAGTAGATTCATTTAATAGATAATAGCGCGGTGGAATTACAAAAATAACGCTATATTATTAATAATGAACGAAAAATCGGATTAAAAAAAAAAACATGGCTGTCATACAGGGTGTCTCATCGTTTAGGAAAAAAAACATGTACGTCAACGTGAAAAATAATGGTATAATAATAATAATGAATGAAAAATCGGATTAAAGAAAAAACATGGCTGCCATACAGGGTGTCTCAAAATATGTCATTAAAAAAAACATGACAGTTTAACGGGGCTCTAATGTTTCAACGTGTGATTCTTCAATGTGTACAGGGTGTCTCATCGTTTAGTAGAAAAAACATGTACAGGGCGTCTCAAAATACGTCAGCGTGAAAAATAATGGTATAATAATGAATGAAAAATTGGATTAAAGAAAAAACATGACGTCAATGTGTACAGGGTGTCCCAAAATGTGTCATTAAAAAAATGACAGTTTAACAGGGCTCTATCGTTTTAGCGTGTGATTCTTCAATGTGTACAGGGTGCCTCATCGTATTAGAAAAAAACATGTCCGAGGTGCCTCAAATTCAGCAGGAAAAAATGAAAATTATTCATGTTCTAACAGGTATGTTTGCAATCGAGCAACTAGTGATACCAGAGAGCAAAAAGTCCTTGATATGTATGGCATCCAGATACAGACAGTTTTATTTATGGAAGTAGTACAAGAACCTCTCATAGCCGGTTATTTCTAAAAACACTTGAAGTGAATAACATGTGATATTTAAAATTTTTATAATAGTGCGTAGTAAGTTGTTCGTTTTCTTTTTTAAAGATGATGTAAGGGATAGTAGACTTCGCCCTGGAGTACCTGATTAACACAGCGACGAATTACTTCAGGTCTACTGTATTTCTATTAGGGATCCGGCATCCAAGAACTTTAATCAAGCTCAAGTTTTTTTTAAATGGCTTCAGTTACTCCATTGACAATAAAATAAGAGATAGTAGACCTCTACTTCGCTCTGAAGTGCCGAAATGACACAGCGCCCTATTGCTGGAGGTCTACTGTGTTTATATAAAGTGCGTATTCACCAAAAAAGCGAGCACGAGCGAACAAGAGTGAACGAGCATTCTGCATCAATAAAATCGTCTGGTTAGTACGGGCTAACGAGCAAGCGAACGTATGCTGTTCGCGTTCAGAAAAGATCGAGAAGAAGGCGCTACATCAAAAGGTACTCGTACAAAGTAGATGGATCAACTAAGACTACGAACTTGAAGATATTCGCTCTGATGTGGACGAGACATCAATATGTCGAGCAAACACGAGCGAATACGAGCAAACATACACGAATGCTCGATCGTGCTCGCTTTTTTGGTGAATACGCACCTTTAGAGAACAGTCATTCAAGAACAATAACACCAGCTCAGTTTTCTTGAAAATTGTTTATATTAGGGATCCGGCATCAAAGAACATTAACAACAGCTAAGTTTTCTCAAAAATGGTTTAAATTACTTTTTTGGTAATACTATACGGGACAGTATACCTCTGCCTCGACCTGGAGTACCGGATTGACACAGCGCCGGATTACTGGAAGCCTACTTTATTTATATTAGGGATCCGACATTCAAGGACAATAAAACCAGCAAAGTGTTCTTGAAAATGGTTTCAATCAATCTTTTGATAATACTATACGGGACAGTAGACCTCTGCCTCGCCCTGAAGTGCCGGATTGACACAGCGCCGGATTATTGGAAGTCTACCTTATTTATATTGGGGATCCGGCATCTAAGAACATTAAAACCAGCTCAGCTTTTTTGAAAATGGTGTCAGTTACTCTTTTGATAAGACTATACGGGACAGTAGACCTCTACTTCACCTTGGAGTGCCGAATTGACACAGCGCCGGATTGCTGCAAGTCTACTGTTTATATTAGGAATCCGGCATCGGAAAACATTACCAACAGCTCAGTATTCTTAAAAATGGTTTCAATTATTCTTTTGATAATACTATACGGGGCGGTATACCTCTGCCTGGGCCTGGAGTGCCGGATTGACACAGCGCCGGATTACTGGAAGTCTACCTTGTTCATATCCGGCAACCAAGAACATTAAAACCAGGTCTTTCGATAAAAAAAAAGGTTTCGATTACTTTTGACAGTACTATACGAAACAGTAGACCTCTGCCTTGAGTTGGAGATCGAACTGACACAGAGCCGGATTACTGACACAAATCGCTACATGCTACATACAATTAAAACCGGAACACAATTTGAGTTTCTAGAAGACACAAAAAAACGTTGGAAATCTTTCTGTTCTTTGTAACAGCCTCAATGATGATCGTTACTGTATTCACATTTTCCAAGCCAACTCAAAGGTTTACAAAATACTTGAATCACTTACCTAACCTTATAGCACATATACCCAATATTTACGTTGGTAGAAACTTATCATTTTGAACTGTCAGATGCAACAGACTTGACAAGTACTTGTCAATGATAAAAATGTTAACCAAAGAACAACATAGGGACGGTTAACTTTTGGTCTAACCTGAAGTCGTCGTTTTCACGTAAATTAGGGGGGAACTGTTTTCATTCATCTTGCATAACTAAGAAACTAGGGAAGTTCGGCGTAGTGGAAAAGAATGCTGAAGAAATCGGAGCGTTTTTCAAGCAGTCTTAGATAATAAAAATCGTATGACTTCAAGAAATATACCGGGGTTAATAGCCACTACTTATCGCTTTCCCCTCGTATTCCAGACATTCAACGTCCAATTTGATCCCGGATCGAGATAACACTTTCCGAGGTAAACAGTCGCCACGAGTAAATAAACAGACTGGTTCTTTATCAAACTTTTATCGTTTCTACAATACGTTTCCACGAAATTGTTTACGAAAAAAAAATAATCAACAAGTATGTCACGAGATCTTTTGATGTAATATTAACATTTTCGCTTGGTTGTGTGTGCGTGTTCAAGTAACTGGCGCCATGAACTGTGTACACAAGGGAAATGGGTTTGGGAGGTATTTGTCCGCAGATTTTATCGGATTATCTGAGATATCAGATGACACTGAAACGTTTCTTCGTTTTTTGTCGAATTAGCAGCGTAAGATTTTGTAGATTCTTTGGACCCCACTTAGGACTTTCGCGAAGAGAGAGGGGTTTCCAAAAACAAGCACTTTTCCCAATCACCACAATTTTAATACTCTCGTTTGAAACTGGTAGATACTGTTTCATGGTGAATTTCATTAGTTCAGGCTTTCCCCTTGTCTAATATTTTCTGAATCTACATTCGAAATCTATGAAAGAATAAATAAAATTAGAATGAGTAGCTAAAGCATCAATTATACATATACAGTGCATTTCTTTAATGTAATAAAGGGGGGCCTTTATTTTTTGAACAGCTCAACTCAAAAAATTGAAATTTGGGGTTGATATTTCTAGAAATATTCTTTTTTATCTGCCATATGGAAATTCCAACAACCCGATAAGGGTTGTTAAGTTATTTTGGTTTACAAAAACGACGAAAAATGTCAGTACGACAATGAACATCATTGTTCAGTTAGAATATTCTCCTCATTTAGTTTTCGGTTTTACTCGTAGAAAGGTATCACGTCAACAATCTCTGAAATGGTCAATTCTCGTCCATTGGAAGAAAAAATTGAAGCGATTTTTATTTACGGTGCGACGCGTAACTTTCACGAGACCGAAAGGATTTTCAATGAACTCCAGACAAGTAAGAAACTATTTGGATACTACTTTTCCCGGTCGTTGGATTGCCCGTCGAGGTCCTACAGAACGGCCAGCCTGCTCGCCAGATTTGACACCTTTGGAATTTTATGTGGCTATTTGAAGCAAAAGTTGTAGGAAACTAAACCTGCTTCAATATTCGATATGTGGCAGAGAATAATAAATATTTGCAGATATTTATTATTATCATATTTGTTCAAGGCAACCATTTCGAGCATCTTCTGAACTGATCTCAAGCTTATTACCTCATATTATGTAGTTGAATGTCAATGTATTCAGGCAATTGTTGTGGAATTGGTCGCGGTGGTAGTGCGCCCGACTCACGATCGGAAGGCCGTGGGTTCGATTCCCGCCTCGACCGGATATTTTTCTCGAGAGAATTTATCTGGTTGAAGCTGGAATGATTCTGCAACCGTGTTAGGAATCACACGTTAAAAGGTAAGACCTTGTTAGTCCTTGGCTCGCACAAGTTTCTCAACTTCTGAGAGTTGTCGTTCATATGGGGGCGACAGCTGATTAACGGAAAAACAGATTTTAAACAGATTTTTTAAACAGAATTATTGAAAGTTCCGCCATTTTGTAATAGTTGAAGATATTGATATTATATTCTAGGGTTGTGAAGCATTTGTCAGGAGCTTCAAAAAGATGTATCACAAGATCTCTTTTTCCATTTAATTTTTTCCCCAAGAAGGCGCCCAGTCGCCATCTTGGGGATGTGTCAATTTCACTTCAAAATAAAGTAGTCACACATTAATTTCATTATCTCAAATTAAAGAGACATTAAAGAAAAGCACTATATAACCAATAAAAACGTGAAAAAAAAATACACAATAATTGTTGACTCCACTTCACCGGTTTTGCGGAAGTTCACCGTTTGGCGGAAGTTGATCGTTCTCCGCTTGATTACAGTTTTCCATGTTGCGTATATCTACGTTTGCTGAAAACAAGAAAAGCACACAGCAAGGAGAAACCAGCAAATCGGGAATAGCAGAGCATGTTTGGAGTCATCAACATAAATCAAGTGGTCCCAATCTGAGATCATCCACAGGGAGGAACATTGGTTCAAGAGAAAGTTCAAAGAAGCACAATTTTCAATTGTGAAAGATTAGCCTACAGAAACGAGTGTAGAAAACAATGTTTGATTTCATAGACCAAATATGTTATTTCCAGTTGTTGTCATATTCCTTATTAGCCCAACAATGTTAATATATTTTTGTAGTTATACTTACTGGAATATGGTGGTGTGTATGTTTTGAGCAATGTTGGTATCTTCAGACTCCATCCATAGTTCTCCTGCACCCAAAAGACTGGATCTACCAACCTGAAACGATTAACCAACATTATAATCAAAACCTAAACCTCGAAAACAACGAAATTTGTTACTTTTGGAATTTTGAACTGTAATGAAGAAAAGAAGAGAAAAAACTTATAATTGATATGCACAATAAATTTTGAGAGAAATGAAAAAAATAGCTATTTATGATATGAGTGTTGAAAGTAAGGTTTAATTTTGTGTTAAAAGTATCTACCTCGAAATGGAACATGTTTTGAATTCAGTTTGGAATGAAAAAACTCAGTTTTGACTTATTTGACATATTCCTCGATATTGTTTGGAATATCTCTGTTGAAATATTTGTCGATATTTTGAATTAGAAACTTGATTCTTAAATTGTTCAGAAATGTTTACCTTGATTTGACAAATTCGACTTCTTTTTCATGATCTTGACAAATTAAGTAAGGTTAGTTTCACTCTTTTCACAATATTTAGACATTTATATGAATCCAAAATTTTACACTGAAGTCGAAATGACTAAGTAAATTTAGAATATTTCTTTAAGAGCTTACAGTTTTGTTTTTTCCTTTCTAAATTTTGACTTTGAAGTTGAAGTAAATTCAATGTCAACTTCTTAAAATTTCGGTTTTTTGAAAACATCGCCCTTTTTCGCCCAAATTTCCACTTTCAAGTAAAAAAGTTTTAGTTTTTTTCTGGATATAACTTACCTCTAGAAAGAAGTAGTTCTTCAAACTGCCGCAACTCCTGATATTGGACAGATTCAGAGTAATGGCTGAGTTATTGCCTTCTTTTTTAATCAAGCTGAGGGTCTTGTCTGTGAGACACAATCGGTAGTTGCCTATCCTGTCCGTTCCCAGGCCCCTGTTCAAGATAACCACCTGCCACACGTGCTCTGAAACAAAAATAGGGCTATCAGTTTTTCGCGGAATTTCGCGCAATAGAAATTGATCGACGATATTTCAGATAAAACCGGAATACAATAAGTAGATAATATCAAATTATGATTATTTCGTAGCAGCAGTGACATCAGACCAAACAAGCTTGTTTTTCCGAACAGTTGGTGTTTATAGTTTACTGAGAATTTTGTTGATTAGAGTGGAGACAAACATATTCGGTGGATGTCAGCACATGATAACGGTCTATTTAGTTCTGCAATGGATTATTTTCCTTCTTATGTGGGTGTTTGGCAGGAAATTATAACTGATCATTTTGAGTTTCGGCCGTATCAATTAATCAGGAAACACATTTCCAATTGCTTACTAGAATTGTATGGTATGGAAATTACTATCAGGGATCACACAAGAGTGCTTAATCATGAAAGAAAAATTTTTGAAAAAAAAACCTTAATTTTTCAACATAATCTCCTTGCAGCTTTACACTAGCCTAATCAACAAGTTCAAAAACATAAAAAATAGAGATTAAGATCCTGAAAATATGAGCGATAGCTCATTCGATTCAGAATCTCCTCTAGAAAAATGTTTTTGAAGGATTTTGGTGCAGGTAAAAAATTGCAATTGTTAATAACAAGATAAGATTAAAAAAAAAGGTATTTAGTTTTTCGTTAATAACTCAAAAAATATTAATATTTAAGCAATTTTGAAAAGTTTTTATTGGTGACAATATAACATCTTTGAACCACGGCCCTGTTGAATTTTTCAGCGTTGGTAAGTAACTAAATCAACCGTTCCTACTTAAACAAAAAAACTACGTTCTACCTGGAAATTAACAAACCCAAAACGTAAATAAATTCACCGTAGCAACAATTTTTCGAAAAATGTCATGAAATTTCTAGGCTGTTGACCACTTCTATATAACTTATTTCACTTCCAATATGTTATTCATATATAAGTTGAGAAGTGGAGTGCCCAAAACAATTTTTATCGAATACATATCAACTTTTTGAGACCTAACCTAATTGATATTTCTTGATCTATTCGCGGGCAGATGGCGGTGTACGTAACTATCAATTATCGCTTGATATATTTGCGAACAGATGGCGCTGTACGTAACTATCAATTATTGCAATCAAATCAAATCAAAATGTACTTTATTGTTGAAGATGAAATCTCATTGACAAAGTGTTACTATTCTAAGAAATATAAGATACACAACTTGAAAGATATTGTCGAAAATAAAATATTATTGTCGAAAATAAAATATTATTGTCAAAGTGTTATTATTTTAAAGAATATAAGTTATACAAATTGAAAGTAATATTTGAACACTTGGTGATTTCAGCATTTTGGGGTGAAAAAGTAGTCAGAAAGTGATAATATATATGCTACATATTGAAATAAATAATAATAATGAATATTCTCATGCAACACATAAATGTAAGTATGAGAATATAAAAAATATAAAGCATAAAAATATAAAGTGAATAGATAGAAAATAAGAGTAAGAATCAACTTCGCTTGAGCTATTCGCGGGCAGATGGCGCTATACGTAACCTGCTTGATAGGTTGTTCAAAAGAAAATCAAAATAAAAAACATATTTTAAGAATTATAAGTGTTAGCAAAATTTTGTACTACAGATGAAATATTTAAATATTTTCAATTACCCGTGATTCAGTACAGAAAAAAGTTTTGAACGAAACGGAAGATACATTTTAAAATCTAATTCGATTATTTGAAAGCAAACCAGAATATGGATTTCAACAATGGAAACTTTATCGTAAATTGTGCACCTAAAAAATTCAGTTACTTAAATATTTTAAAAAAATCAAAAAATTAGAATTAAGGTGCTTGACACATATCAAATCAAAAGATTGATTTGAAAAATGAAATTATTCACTGAAAAGATATTTATAGTCCATTAATATTTTGAATGAAATTTCAAATCAGAACATCAAGACTGAATTGTTCTTTGAAATCATTACTGCAAATTTTCTCTTTACTTCGAAACAAATTTTACAACTGTCCGCCCTCTGTTGGACACTTACTGCATCTCATTATTACTATAGAATTTAAGACCTCAAACCAATGCTCAAACTTTATTATGTTGTTTGAGAGGAATTTCACGCCGTATAATACTAGTGACTAGAACTAAAAAAAAAGTATTTTTGACAATAAATCGTACTAATAAGTGAAAAATAAATATAGTTTAATAAAACTAAAAAACACGCTTTTGAAGAACATCGATCTAAAAAGTTAAAAATAATTTTTTTTGTTTTTTATCGACCTTCTTGGGTATTTGTTATCTTCTACAATCTTTTACGTTTCGGAGGCCAAAATCTACCATTCAGAAATGGATAAAAAAATCGAATATATTCGCAGTTATTCCTTTTTTGATATCTTATTTCTTTACTTCTTCGACAGATGTCAAAAAAAACTTCTTTGAATTCTTCTTCGAATTTTTTATCCATTTCTGAAGACGGAGGCAGATTTTGGCCTCCGAAACGTAAAAGATTGTGGAAGGTAACAAATACCCAAAAAAGGTCGATAAAAAACTGATTTTTCTGTACCGTTTTTATAATAAGAACTGTATTGCTCCTCAAAATAGCCATTAACTGTCGACATCGCTCCTTCATCGTTGGAAAATCTTTGACCAATGAGCCATTTTTTTCAAGTTTGAGAACAGAAAATAACCCAAGTGGGCTAAATCTGGCGAATGGGGTGCATGTGGTAACAATTCAAACTTTAATTCGTCCTCTGCACGAGCCGTACCCATTTCAACCCAAGAAATCCAGCGTCGAATTTGCGACGTCTTGTGGAAGGGCCGCACCCGACGCCTAGCGCCAAGGCCACTTCGAAATACTACGACGCGACGCATCCAGACGTCGTTCGAGTCGTCCTCGTGTGTTTGGCTCCCCTCGCCGACCCCTCCCCTCCCTCGTGACCCGATCTAGACGTCTACCTCGTCTCGCGGGGGCATTTGTCAACGTTCGCGCCCAAATTAACTGGAATGCCATACGGAAACGACTCGACACGAATTTATATTCATATTGTGTCGGTCCGGATGTCTGGGAAGCGATGGTCTTTTTTTTTCGGTAGACGATTTTGCAGGAGGCCGCTTGTACACGGTGGACGCCATAACTGCTCATACTCTGGTTCTCAATAGTAAAAAAGGCTTGTTATAAATGCTAACCAAGTGCTAAAACAACATTTTGTGATTTCGTTGCAATAACTGTATTAATTAGTTCAGCAAGTATCGGCCAGTTCTATACAATTAGTGTCTATATAGTATAGACATGTCTGAAGAAGTATATATAAGCGTGTCTATTCTATATAGTATAGACGTTTCTATACTGGCGTGTAAATATGGTATAGACGTGTCTGTACAAGCGTGTGTATAAGTATATACGTGTATAGTATAGTCACTTCTGAAGACGTCTATACAGGCGTGCCTATATAGTACTGATGTATTTATTTATAGTTTCACTTCAGTATAGAAACTCCTAAAGAAGTCTATACAGGCGTGTCCATATAGTAAAGATGTGTCTAGACAGGCGCAGCTATATAGTAAAGACGTGTATATACAGGCGTATCTATATAGTATATACGTGTCTATATAGTATATGTGTATTTACAGACGTGACTATACCATATAGTAACTATACTTACTATAGGATAGTAACTATACTATATAGTATAGTTACCATACTATATAGTAGAGTGACTTTACTATATAGTATCGTCACGCCTGAAGACGTATATACAGTATGGACGTATCTGTACAGGCGTTTCTATATAGTATAGACGTTTCACTTTCAAGAAGTCTATACATGCGTGTCCATATAGTATATACAGGCTTGTCTATATAGTATATACGTGTCTATACAAGCGTGACTATATATTATAGACGTACATACACAGGTATGTCTATTTAGTATATACGTGTCTATACAGGGATGTCCATATAGTATATAGTATATACGTATACTAGAGTACAGACACGTCTGAAGGAGTATATACAGGCGTGTCCATGTAATATAGAAGTGTCTATACAGGCGTGTCTATTTAGCAGAGACGTGTATATACAGGCATGTCTATATAACATAGCCACGTCTAAAGAAGTCTGTACAAGCCTGTCTATTTAGTATATACGTTCTTATACAGGCTTTTCTATGTAGTGTATATTTGTCTATACAGGGATGTCCATATAGTATATACCTGCCTATACAGGCGTATCTAGTCTATATAGTATATATTATAGACGTGTCACTAGAGTACAGACACGCCTGAAGGAGTATATACAGGCGTATCCAAGTAATATACATGTGTCTATACAGGCGTGTCTATATATTAGAGACGTGTATACGTGTCTATACACGAATGTCCATATAGTATATACGTGCCTATACAAGCGTGTCTATATAGTATATATCTGTCACTTGAGTACAGACACGCCTGAAGAAGTCTATACAGGCTTGTCCATATAGTATAGACGTGTCTATATAGTACATACTTGTATATACAGGCGTGTATATAAAGTATAGGCGTGCCTATATATGCGTGTCACATCTGAAGACGTTTATACAGGTGTGTCCATATAGTATAGCCGTGCCTATAAGGGCGAGTCTATATAGTAGACTTTTCTCTATAGTAAACACACGCCTGAGAAAACACGCGTGTCTAACAAAGGTGTTTATACAGGCGTGTCTATATAGTGTAGACGTTTCAATATAGGCGTGTCTATCTAGTAAAGACACGCCTGAAGGCGTCTATAGAGCCATGTCTACGTAGTGTAGACACGACTGAGGAAGGTATTGTATAGCGAAACAGGTGTTGCGTTTTTGTGAAACGGTGTACTGAAAATTTCACAATGAAGTGTATCTTGAATACGTTATGAATTTTCATTAAGTATCGGACGATCCCAAACAAGTTATTTCAAAAGGTATATCCTTTGTTAAGCTAAGTTGCATCCAGATAGTTATTCTTTCAATTCGCACT